GCTTCTATGGGAAGTGGCCATGGGGCAGGAGGGGGAAGGGCCTGAGAGGGGCCTCATCAGGGTGGCCTCACGATTTCTCCCGGGGCCGAGCTGGGAGGAGCACTGTGCCCGGCTTCCTTCCATCCCACTGGCTGAGGACCACCCACACCAGCCTCAGGCGAGACCGAGATGTGAGGTGGGCACAGGAGGCTTCTCTTGACTAAAAGGAAGCAGCCGTGGGGCACAGATATAAGGTGGCAGTTGTGCGTGGAACGCAGAGTAGCTACCTGTGAGGTTAGGATTATTCATCCCCATTTCACAGACTAGAAAACCAAAGTCACTGGTCACAGTAAAATGGCCAGTGCGTCAGTTCTCTACGACTGCGTAACAAATGATCTCACAACTTAGCTGGTGCATGTGGTCATGTTTGCACCTTCTTTCCTGTGGCCTGGGACTCCATCAGGGGCCAGGGGGGCCAGCTGGTGTCTGGCCCCCGGGATCTGGGCCTCAGCTGGAAGGCTCGCAAGTGGTGCTGTGATCACCTGAAGACTCGTATCTACCTGTCAGCGGGGACTGCGCCAGGACTGTTGGCAAGAACAGCTAGGCCAGGTGTCCAGAGGAGTGCTCCAGGAGACAGAGCGAGGGAGGGGCACAGAAGTCATGCCTGCCACCTTTTATCAGCCGGGAGGTGGAGGCTGTCACCTCTCAACGAGCGGTCAGCGTCACACTGTAAGGGTAGCCTGTGGGCTGGGAGGCTTTGCTGCAGCCACCGCGGGGAAGTGCAATCTTCCACAGCATGGGGCTTGAAGCCAGGGCGGTCTGATTCTGCAGCGTGTGCTCTCCACCTCCTCACCTCTCTCCTCATACTGAGTCATTAAAAAGGAACGGCCTGGGCCAGGCCAGCCCCTGGCTTTCCCTGAACCACTACGACACGAGGATGTGGAAGATGGGTACTGTGCAACCACAGCAAGTGGAGGAAACTGGAATGAAAAGCAAACCCTATGAGCAGTCTTCCTAAGTGCCGCACCTGCATCCTCCAGGTGATAGTGGAAGAGAGGACAAGCATCCGGGTAAGAAGAAGAGAATCCAAAAGAGCTCAATCAGAGAGAGAGAGTGCTCAAGTGGAAGGCTGGGGGTGGGGGGGGCGGGGGCGCGCTGAGCAAGGAGCCCGACGCGGGACTCCATCCCAGGACCCTGGGATCATGACCTGAGCCGAAGGCAGAAACTTGACTGAGCCACCCAGGTGCCCACCACTGAGCAGTTATGAAGACAACATAAAGACACGTGCAAACACTCAAGGACTCAGACATTTACTTCCCTCATACCCACTGCTAAGGAATGATTTAAGGACCAGCTCTAACAAAATAAGAACATAAACCAAAAAAAGAGGCAGGCTCATAGTGGAGGAAGATTGAGAATATGATAATAACACCCAGTGGAAGAAAAAAAAAAGCAATCAGAAACTCCAGGGTGAACCATAAAACCATATAGAGCAAACAGGTTTAAGTGTGAGTTGAGAGTCTTGATCCACTGGACATGGTTCTGGGAGGTTAGCGCTGTTAGCACTTCCAACACGACCACAGTGACTTCTATTTTGCACAGAAACTGAGGCTGAGAAATCTGACCAGCTAGTACAAGCAGTCTGACCCCAAGCTCACTCAGCCTCGCTGCCTTGTCCCCCACAAATTATGAGCCAAACAAAGGAATGATATAAAATGGAATCCCCAGTGTGGACTTGAGCCTCTGCCCAGAGGGCTTGCACTCAGGCTTAGAGCCAGCTCACACTCGGTGTAATGCTCTGAACGCTTATGACATTTGAACAAGGGCACATGGGGCCTCCCACGTGTTGCTGATCCCAGTGGCCTTGAGTCCTCTCCTCTGAGTAGCACCCAAGGAAGTATGGTCACACAGCCCAACTCCTGGAAACACTGTCCTCTGTCCTGAGCAGCCAGTGTTAGGAACCAGAATGTGAACATCCCTGAGGCTAGTGTGGGTGGAGCTGTGTTGGAGCTGGGCTCAGAAAGAAAAGTCAGAATACTGGCCCAGTCTTCACTTAAAAGTTTATATTTTATCCATGTATGTTTTTTGCACAAACTTTTGATTTTTAGAAATATTGCACTAAACTACTATTTACTTTGAGGACTGAAGTTTTGGTGGCCCCCTCCACTTTGGAATTTGCACCTGAAGCCAGTGCCTTCCACTGCTGTGCTTCCTGAGTACCTGGGGGAACCAGGGAGTCTCCTCGAGAGAACCAAACCCTGTGAGTGGAAATAGGAAGTTGAGGCACAATGTGCAAAGCTGGAAATAAAGTTAGAGCCACGTAGCCCATCATTCAGGGGTAATGGGAGTACACCTCCCACAGTGGAGTTGGGTGAGGGTGTAGTGAGACCTTTTCTGCTGGGCTTTTTAAAAAAATTATTATTATTTTAATTTTATTATTCTTTTAAAAGATTTTATCTGAGAGAGAGAGAGAAAGAGAGCACAGGGGGAGGGGCAGAGGGAGAAGCAGACTCCCCACTGAGCAGGGAGCCCGATGCGCGGCTCAACTGAGATCAGGACCTGAGTCGAAGGCGGACACTTCACCGACTGAGCCACTCAGGCACCCCAAGAATTTAATTTTATTAAAGATTTTATTTATTTATCAGAGAGAGAGAGTGCGCGCACAAGCAGGGGGAGTGGGAGAGGGAGAAGCAGGCTCCCCACGGAGCAGGGAACCCCACGTGGGACTCGATCCCAGGACCCTGAGATCATGACCTGAGCCGAAGGCAGACGCTTAACCGACTGAGCCACCCAGGTGCCCCCCCAAGAATTTAATTTTTTAAAAAAATAATTAAAGCCAAGGAATTCTGAATTTGAAAGTTGGAGGGAAGGTCAAAATCAAGGGTCAGGCAGGTTTCAAAGGACAAACCCCTGGGCCACGAGGGGACAGAGGAAGGAATGGAGAACCCGAGGACCCGGCGAGACCGTGTACCAACAAAGGAGTCGGGCCTGTGGCATCGTGGTTGTGGTGCCGGGTGGCGGGCACGAAGGGCCAGGCTCGTTACCCGCGTGAAGTCACAAGGATGCCACCGTGCCTGGGGAACGGCCCAAGAGAGCAAGACAAGCGAGAAATAAATTCAAATAAATACCTGTCAAGAGAGGGGAAAATAAGGAACTTCCTGAGTGTGAAAGATAGGGAATTGAAATAACCTGAAAATTTTGGCAAAAGCAAGAAACAGGGGAGGAGCCTGGAGGCAGGGCAAGAAAGGGCACACCGGCTTAAATGATCAGATTTAGAGACAAACATGCTCAGATGAGATTAAGAAATAAAATGCAATTATGTGCTCTTAGGATCCAACTCTGAAATAAGAAAAAAAGTTAGAAATAAAGAGAGAAAAATAGGGGGTAGACACATGTTAATAAAGCAGAGAATGGATTCCAAGAGAGGTTGGCAGAGAAGAGGAGCTCCTGGGGGGGAAGGCCGAGCCCCACCCACGAAGCAGCGTCCAGGTCCCGAGGAGACGGGTCATGGAGGTCGGAGGTGAGTGGACACCGTGTCTCTGGCAGGACACAGAAGAGGGCAGGCAGACGCGTGCATCTCCTCCGCAGAGACTCCTGGTTCCAACCAGCCCTGGGCTTCCTCACCGCGCCCCCGACGCCGTGGTCGGCCGGGAGCCCCGGGCCCAGAGTGAGGGCCTGGACTCTGTTCCTCACCCATCAGGGCAGGTCTTCTCTGCACAGGGTTGGGTGAGGGTCAAACCCCTGGCCTGGTCCCCAGGACACCCTGTTGGGGTGCGGGTCCTGGCGGAGAAAGTCCTTGATGGGGACTGGGGCCAGTGACACTGAGGACATCCCTCCCACCGGTCCTCTCAGGGAGAGGGCGGGAGGAGCTGGACTGGAGGAGGGCTGTCACCCTCAGCACGGCCCCCACGCGGGCCTTCCCGCCAGCAAACCCCGCAGGGAGAAGGCACAGGACGCTCAGCTAATGGTGGCCGGGCCAGGGCTGGGGCACAGCCTCCCTTCCCAGGCGGACGGCAGGGCCTGCCCTTGGAGGTGGGGTGAGGACACAGGGGGACTCTGCAGGGCAGGTCTGCTTGAGGATCCAATGCCATCCAGGGGCAGAGGCGTCAGGGAACCTGGGGAGGGCATGGGGTCTGCGTGCCCCCTCCCACCCTGCCGAGAAGGCCCTAAGGACCCAGAGTGGGCTGGGGTCTCCCTGCCTCACCCACACTTCTCACCAGCCTTCCTGGTCTGGCCCCCTCCCAGCCCTGCCGCCCCCTAGAACCCTGGACGCTGGCCCAGCCCTAGGACCACGATCCTCCTGTCTCAGCAGTGACTGGGCCTCGGGAGCCCTGAGGGGGCAGCCGGGCTGAGAAATGCTGACACTCCAGATTTCTGGCCCAAACCCAGCAGAGAGCAGGGACTCGGTTCCCCGTGCATCCAGCCTGCTCGGTCAGAAGCCTGCAGCCCGAATGGGGGTGGCCGGGACGCCAGTGGGCTGCAGACCAGGAGCTGGGTGCTGGCCCCCGCTGCTGGGTGGGGTGTGGTGGAGCCCCCCGGGGGGCCGCGTTCCGGCTTCCATGCTCACGTGAAACTTTTTACAAGCAAACAAAGGGGTACGTTACAAGAGGGCAACTCTGAACGATTGTTGCCCTTCTCTGCAGATCTCAGGCCCCAGGCTGAGTAAGGGCACAAGCAGCACTGTCGGTGCTCCCAAGTCTGCCCTTTCACTGGCTCTGGGTGCCCCCCGGGGGTGAGCAGCCTCCGACTGCCAGGCCCAGTCAGCGACACCCAGCCCACAAGGTCCAGGACTTTCCACCTGCCCCCCTGCCCCCTTCCCAGGAAGTATTGGTTACTGATTGAACGCTAGGAGCCTTGAATGGGAGAGCCCCTGGCAATAATCACCTGGACCGAAGACCTCTGCTCTCTCTTCTGCACACAGAGCAGCTCCTTGCAGCCTCGGCTGGACCCCGGGGTGCTCAAGGCAGCCGGGAGAGGACAGACGCACACAGCAGTGCTGGAAGCAGGCCCTGGAGGACATCATGTGGATCGGCTGGTGGCTCTGGCCCCTCGTGGCCCTCTGCACCGGAGACCAGTTCCGGGATGAGGCTGAGAGAATCATGCGGGGCACACCTGTCATCGACGGGTAAGTCGCCACTCACGTGACGGGACTGGGGACAGACCTATCTCTACGGGGACTCACTTTCTCCATCCGCGACACGGCCTTTGCCCTTTGCTGGCCTCAGCTTCTTCATGAGGACCCCCAAAGCATCAGCAGGAATGGAGAAGTTGCAAGGCCCCCGTGGCCCTCAGCAGCTCCCGGGGTGCCCTACAACCTGCCCCGTCCTGCACCCTAGATGCCAGATCCCAGCTCGGAGTGGACGTTGGGGGTGGAGGATGTTGGGGCCTGGCCCCGGGCATGCCTCCAACTAGCCACATAGCCCAAGGAGCCATAGTTCCTCTCGGGACCTTAGCTTCTTCACCTGAAGCTGTAGGTAAGGTGGCATCTACCACGGGCCCCTGGGAAGCCTTTCCTGGTCCTCTCGACCCTCCTCTGAGACCTTTCTCATTCCCCTCCGTGTCCTGCATCCACCTGGAGGAGACCTCATCAGGCCCTGGGTCCCCGGGTTACCTCTGTGCTGGGTGCACAGCTTGACCTCACCTGTGTGCTCACTGACCCACCCACTCTCGCAGACCCCTTTCCAGCCAAGACCCTGGAGACACCTTGTTCTTTCTCTGGTGTCACAGCCAACCTGGCAGGGTCTGTCCCCTCCAGTTCCCAGTGCATCTGCACCCACCCTCCTTCCCCACCCCCTTCTCCACCTCCACCGGGTCACCTGTGAGCCTCTGACTGTCCTGGCCTCCACCAGCCGAGGTCTGGTCTCAGTGCTGCACCAGAGGGAGTCTGGGAGACCTGGGTCCCAGCTCCTGTCCTTCTGGCTCAAGTTCCCCACCCGCCATGTCTCCCATTGAGCTCGGACGGTGGCCGAGGTCCCCCACTGGCCCCCGAGACGCCCCCTGCCATACCCTGGCCGCCCCCACACCCCTGGATGCTAAGGCAGGCTCTCACTGTCCCTGCCCGTCCTCATGTGCACGCTGCCACCCTCGTGTCCTCCGGGTTTGCCGACCGTGTGAAGCCCCGGCTGGGCACACCCCGCAGCCCGGCTGTTCCTGCCGCCCTCCCCTCCCTGTCACGCCTCCCCCGCAGGCCAGCAGAGAGCGGGGACTCGGTTCCCCGTGTGTCCAGTCCAGAGAGCTGCAGGGGATGCACGCTAGCACACCCGTGGGCGGGGAATGTTAGGACTGCCCCTGTGTGTCTCCGGCACCAGTACGTGCTCAATTAAATGTTACAGTCACGACTATTTGGCAGATGCTCTGGGCTTTGTCGGAAAAAAACTCAGCAAGAAAAGCAGAGAAAATGGGATGTGTCCTTCTTTGGGAGCCTCAGGGAGCTGTGGCGGCCCTAGAGAAGGGAGGGGCCACCAGAGGCTAGTGTGCACCCCTCTGCCCTTGCTTCCTCCCCTGTACCTCCTTCCTGGCCCCAGGGTCCCCTCATACATGCTCCGTGGGGGATGAGGCACGAAGTCTGCTCAGAGGCTGCTGCCCTGGGCTCCCACCCTGGATGGAGCCCCCGCTGTCTGGTAGGAGGCCAATTGTATGAGCCCGGGAAGGTGCTCTGCTCCTTCATTCTGAGGGGCGGGCGGGGGCGGGCAGCTGGGCACGGAGAGGGGGGCCCGAGTTCAGGGGCAGGGGGTCCAGAGGCCTGTATATGGGGTCAGATGGATCAGAGAGCCCAGACAGTCAGGAACACTCAGGGAACTGGGATTTGGGGATCTGGGATTGTCCAAAGAGCTAGAAAGTTAAAACTAGGCTGACAGGGGGCGCCTGGGTGGCTCAGTTGGTTGGGCGACTGCCTTCGGCTCAGGTCATGATCCTGGAGTCCCGGGATCGAGTCCCGCATCGGGCTCCCTGCTCAGCAGGGAGTCTGCTTCTCCCTCGGACCCTCCCCCCTCTCATGCTCTCTCTCTCTCATTCTCTCTCTCAAATAAATAAAATCTTTAAAAAAAAAAAAACAAAAAAACTAGGCTGACAGGACCAAATCCAATACTAGTAGATCAGTTAGTATTAGCTACCTGAATTACTCTTTTTTTTTTTTAAGATTTTGTTTATTTATTTATTTGAGAGAGAGAGAGAGAGAAACAGCATGAGAGGGGAGAGGGTCAGAGGGAGAAGCAGGCTCCCTGCTGAGCCTGGAGCCTGTTGTGGGACTCGATCTCAGGACTCCGGGATCATGACCTGAGCTGAAGGCAGTTGCTTAACCAACTGAGCCACCCAGGCGCCCCACTACCTGCGTTACTCTTGCAGGTAAGAGACCCAAGTAAGTGGTTTCAACAAGAGAAATCCAGAGGGAGTCCTGGCATGGTGTTTCATAATGGAACATAGCGGCCATCATGCCCATAGTGACCTCATGGTGTAAAGTGGCTGCACCAGCTCCAGCCTTTACATCTGCACGCCAGCCAGCAGGAATGAGGAAGAGACATGGAAAGGGCAAGAGTGAGCAATAGCTGTCTGTAAACGAGATCTTCTGGAAGCTATCAAAGGGCAGAACTTAGTCACATGGCCACACCCGGCCAAAAAGGGGCAGGGAAGTATCTTTATTTCAAATGGCCATGTTCCCTGCTAAAAATAGGGGGTTCTTGGGCACCTGGGTGGGTCAGTTGTTGAAGCGGCTGCCTTTGGCTCAGGTCATGACCCCGGGGTCCTGGGATCGAGCCCCGCATCGGGCTCCCTGCTCAGTGGGAGGCCTGCTTCTCCCTCTCCCACTCCCCCTGCTGTGTTCTGACAAATAAATAAAATCTTAAAAAAAAAAAAATAGGTGGTTCTTACCAAGAAAAAGTGGAGAATGGATAACAAGCCACCAGCAGTCTCTCCTACAATAGCTAGCTGTCCTTCAAGTGCTTGGAACTGTCACCTATCCCCTTGGAGTAGGGGCAGGATCCTCATATCACCACCGAGGACGCTGCCCCCACCACACAGATAAGGAGGGTGGGTCGAGCAGGCTCCAGAGCGGCAGTGCTGACCACAGGGTGAAGGTGGCCTGAGTTCCCCACCCTGGGCGCCAGGGAAAGTGCCCCTCCCTACTGGTGGGTTCCTGGCTGGCGGCTAGAGGGTGGGGCATCGTCAGGCAAGGAGTGAAGAAGTCCCGTCCAGGGGCCCTGCCCAGCCCTGCCCCAGGACAGCACCCAGAGGCACCGGGACTCTGGCGTTCGGCTACCCGTCCACCTCTTGGGCAGCAAAGGCGGACGTCCTGGCCAGCAGCCCACACCCTGTGACATCACGATGCAGCTGTGGCAGGAGCCCCCCAAGAGAGCAGGGGTGGCGGGCCTGCAAGGCCCGGGGGGTAGCAGTTACTCATCTTCCCTCAGTTTACTCTGAGGAAGGTACCGAAGCATCCCCCTGTTACAGGTGGGAGCTGAGAGGCAGGAGCCAGGATTGGAGAGGGACACTGCATGGGGGGTGAGGCCGGGGCTGCTCGTCCTGGGGGGAGGGGTCTCGAAAGCAGGAGTGGCCCCCACACCGGCAGTGCCCCCTGGGAAGGGGCTGGGCGGGCCCGCGAGGCACCGGGATGAAGGCCCCTTGGCACTGCGTCAGGGATCCAGCAGGGGCGCCTCCACAGGTGTCCCGCATTCCAGGCCCAGCTGATTAAAGCGCAGATTCCAACCGGCAGGTCTGAGCTGGGCCTGAGACTCTGCATTTCCAGTCAGCTCCCTGGCCCATACCTCTTCCACATGTGGAACTTAAGGGGACCTGGCGCCCCAGGGGTCTCTCCTGCTTCGGGCTGCTCCTGGGTCCAGGGAGGAATCTGCCCAGCCGTGTGGGTTCTGCCTTTGCAGCCCCGACCAGCTGCAGACATTCAACCCCCCTCCTCCTCCCTCCCTCCTCTCCTCTCTCCCTCCAAAGCACTCACCCCTACTGGCTCCTGGGAAAACTCAGAGGGGCCTCAGTGCTTTGGAAGCATATTAGGATGTGTGCACAAACGGGGCGGGGCTGTCCCGGAGCCCCCGGTGCCCTGCTCCTGCTGCCCCAGGAGGATGGGGTGGGGGCACCAGGCCCCCAAGGGCAGGCCACACCCACATCCCTGCCCCCTCCCCTGCAAGGAGAGGAGTTCATCCTTAACTTGTGAAAATGGTCAAGGTCAGGGTCCCACACCCAGCTCCCGCCCCGCTGCCCAGGGCCGCTTTTCCCTCTGGGGACCTGGGCTGGGTGTGCGGCACAACGGAGCAGTTACTCTGTGCGGGTGTGTCCATAAGCGTGGAGCGATGTGTCACCCCTGTGGCTGGCTTTAGCTCTGAGCCCATGAGAAACAGGGGAGGCCCCAGGTGCATGTGGCCATCCTGCCTTGCCTCTGACCCGTCTCCTGCCCCCCCCCCCGGGACCCCCAGGCACAACGACCTTCCCTGGCAGCTGCTAACCATGTTCAACAACCAGCTCCAGCAAGAGAAGGCCAACCTGACGAGCCTCGCCCAAACACACACCAACATCCCCAAGCTGAAGGCTGGCTTTGTAGGGGGCCAGGTAGGGCTCAGCTCAGCCCTGCACTCGCCCCTGCCGGGGTTCTGGCTCCCTGGTGGTGGTACCTCCTGAGCCCCTTGGGGCCACGAGTCTTCGGAGGGGACTCATGGCCACACAGGCCACGGGAGGGCCTCCGAGACGCCCGTGTGCACGTTGGGGATGGGGCCCAGAGGCTCCGCTCCTAGCCCCTCTCCCCTGTGCCCCCTAGTTCTGGTCTGCATACACCCCTTGCGACACCCAGAACAAAGATGCTGTGAGGAGGATACTGGAGCAGATCGATGTCATCCACCGCATGTGCCAGATGTACCCTGAGACCTTTGTGTGCGTCACCACCAGCACAGGTGGGTCCGGGTCCAGCCCGCCCTCCCGAGCCCCTGCTGCCCCAGCCCCAGCCCGGCACAGAGCGGCTAGGACTCTGCCCAGGTGTGCCCTGTGGAAGCTCCTGGGACGCGCGGGCACGCCCCCAGCTGGCTCTCCTCACAGGCATCCGGCAGGCCTTCCGGGAGGGGCGCGTAGCCAGTCTGGTTGGCGTGGAGGGCGGCCACTCCATAGACAGCAGCCTGGGCGTCCTGCGGGCACTCTACCACCTGGGCATGCGGTACCTGACCCTCACTCACAGCTGCAACACGCCCTGGTAAGTGACCCCAGGGAGGGCCCATGGGCCACGCGGGAGGGTCACAGGGTGGGGCCAAACACCAGCTCTACCCTCCCCCGGCACCTCCCTGTCCTTCCGGGCGTTGGGGACGTGGGTGGGCCAGGATGAGCACTCTGCCCCTGGGACACCTGCTGTCTGCTCTCCCAGGGCTGACAACTGGCTGGTGGACACAGGAAAGGACAAGGCCCAGAGCAAAGGCCTGTCAGACTTTGGCCAGGTGAGCGGGGCGTTCGGTGAGGACCACAGTCCCCCTCCGAGGAGAGGTGACTCCGGACCCAGGGTCTTGCCTCTCAGGCCCTCGGTTTCCTATCAGCCGGAGCTGGCAAGCGTTGTCCCACTGGACGACGTGGGTATTCACTGGAAGCCGAGGGTCACCCCCCAGCCATTGAAGGGTTCATGAGCACCTGGCCCAGCAAGGGGCCCTTGCCCAAACCCGCCCCCCCAATGCCTGGACTTGTCGGGGGGTACTGTGGTGAACCCCGGTAGGCTGTGCAAACACCAGTGTGCCCAGTGCAGCCTTCCTGGCCCTCGCACCCCTGTGTCCCTGCAGAGCGTGGTGAAGGAGATGAACCGGCTGGGGGTCATCATTGACTTGGCCCACACATCCGTGGCCACCATGAAGGCGGCCCTGCGTCTGTCCAAGGCTCCCGTCGTCTTCAGCCACTCCTCAGCCTACAGCCTGTGCCGGCACCAGCGCAATGTGCCCGACGATGTGCTCCAGCTGGTGGTGAGGGGCTGTGGGGCAGGGTGTGGGGCTCCGTCCTGCTCCCGGGGCTGGTCCCGGGTGGCGGCGCTCCCTCCTGAGTCCACAGCCCCACCCTTCTCCTGAGCAGAACCAGACAGGCAGCCTGGTGATGGTGAATTTCTACAACAAATATGTTTCCTGCCAAGAGGAGGCGACCCTGTCCCAGGTAGCAGGTAGGTGGATGTGAGCGGCCCCGGCGGCGGGGGCGGGGGTCCTGCTCCTGGGACCCACACCCGCTGCCTTCTTTGGCAGACCATCTGGACCACATCAAGAAGGTGGCGGGAGCCGGAGCCGTGGGCTTTGGTGGGGACTTTGACGGTGTTTCAAGGTAAGGGGCAAGGCCAGTGTCCTGTGGATGAGCTGGGAGGGTCACACCCCCCATGAACATGTCATGAGGGTCTGAAGCTAGGAAGTGGGTAACTGCAGACAGGCCCAGCATGTGTCACCAGGCCACTCCACTGGACCCCCAGTGCCTTGGGATGGGGGCTTGGGCAACTCAGTGGTGTGTGGGGAGGTGGACGGGCCCCTGAGCCCTGGAATGCCTAGCCTGGTTCTCTCTGCCCTCACCTCAGGGTCCCCTCGGGGCTTGAGGACGTGTCCAAGTACCCAGACCTGGTGGCCGAGCTGCTCAGAAGGCAGTGGACAGAGGTGGAGGTCAGGGGCGCCCTGGCCGACAACCTGCTCAGGGTCTTCGAGGCAGTGGAACAGGTGAGGGGGGGCTGTTGTTTTTTTTCAGTGTTGTCGGCAGGCCAGCAGGCAGGCAGGCAGCCCAACCCGTGTCTGTCCCCAGGTGAGCGATCACACGCAAACTCCTGAGGAGGAGCCCATCCCACTGGACAAGCTGGAGGATTCCTGCAGGACCAAGTATGGCTACTCAGAGGCCCCCAGCTTCCACCACCGGCCAGGGGCCCTGCTGGCCTCCCTCACCACCATCCTCCTCGGCCTGAGTCTTCTTTGATGCTCTGGGACCTGGACCTCCTGGGTCCCTACAGCTCTGGGGAGACTGTGGCCAACAGAGCAGGGAGATTCCAGGATGCTGCTCCCCACGCACAAGGCCTGGCCTCTCCTGAGCAGGTACCTGGGCTCACTTGAGGGCAGTAGGCTGTGGGCAGTGCCAGACACAGACACACAGCGGACCGTCAATAAAGGCAACAACCCTTCTGAGTCATGAGGGTGTGTGTCCTCAGCACCCCAGCCCTGGAAGGGGGCTCCTGAGCATCCAAGGGCAAATTCTGTGAGAATGGTCCCAGGCTGGACCTCCAGACATAGCAGTTCCTGGGCGAGTGGGGCCAGAAAGAGCTCAGGGGCTTCAAAGAGTGTTGCATGGGCACTGCTGAAGTCTTTAAAAACAGCCTAGGTTCCAGCTGCCCCCTCCCCACGTATACACACACACACACACACACACACACACCACACCGTGATGCACACACGTGCGCCCCCACCCTCACGTGTGCACCCCATCACACGCACGTGCGCCCCATCCTCACGCACACATGTGTGCACCCCATCACACGCACGTGCGCCCCACCCTCACGCACACACGTGTGCCCACACTGTGCCCCTTGGCCCTGCTGCCCCCATTCTAGGCCAGAGCCTCTAAGAACGTCCCATCTGGGCGGGTACAGGCTTTAATACTGAGGTAGGAGCTCCTCTGCCCAGGCGCCCTGGGCCCTAAGATGCCCACAAATGAGTGGACAGCCCCATGCAGCCCCTACCAGCAACTGGGGCACCCACCTGAGCCTGGCTCCCCCCGCCCTGTGAGGGTCCCTGCTTCTCATTCCCAGGCAGGTCTGCCGTGACCAGAAGGGACACCGGTGGGGATTTGCGGATCACTTAGGATTGATTTAACATTAAAGGGTTTCTGTCCTGAGTTGGCCAGATCCCACCCAAAGCCCCCAACTCCGCCGGGCGGAGACCGTGGGAAGGGTCCCTCTGCTGGGCTGCGGAGGTAGCACACCAAAGTTTGCTACCCGAACTAACTGTAATCACGAGAGGCCACAACTGCAGGTGCCACCAAAAACCTACCTGGTCCCGGGGGAGATCTCTGCTGTCCAACCTCAATTTGTCCTGCTAGTTTATTTCCACTTCCACTCAACCCTGTCCCAACCTCAGGAGACCTTTCCGAGGAGTGAAGGACACGCTGGGGGGGGATGGGTAATCAGGACACAGAGGCTGCAGGAACCCCCTCCTTAGGCTGCGGGTGGATTCCTCCAGGGACCACATCTCCCCTGGTAAGGCCCACACGGGGTGCACAAGCAGCCCTAAGGAGCCTGTTCACACGCAGATGTGCGTGGGTGTGAGGGCCCTGGGAGGTGGGGCTTCTTTCCAGCCAGCCCGCAGGCGCATGATTCAATTCGGATGGGGCCCCCCAGTGGAATAACAGAAGATGAGCGAAGGATGCAGGCCCTGGTGTGCGTGAGCAGAGCAGGGGCATTCTGGGCAAGCGCTGGGAGGCCGAGCGAAGGACCGTGCACGCTGTCCTCTGCTCAGTGAGGGCTGTCCCACAGAGGGGTGGTGAACAGTTCTGTGCTTTGTGTTGACAGATGAGCAAAGACAGGCGTACAGGAGAGGCGGGTTTCCGCTGTCAAGTCAGTTGCGAATGGGGGGGGGTGGCCAGATTGAGCCTGACTAGAGCAAACTTGCGGTTTCTGGTATCCAGAGGGGCGTCCACATGTGGTTTCTGGCTCACAGAGAAGAAACACCCGCAGGCCCACACTGATATAAATCGTGGGATAAGTAGAGAGAAGAAACTCTTCCTTAAAACAGAACTGCAAATAGGAAATCACCACGAATATTGTTACCAGGAAGATGCATCAAGGGCCAAAGGAGAACAATGTCTGCCAATGCTGCTGGCAGAGTCTTAAAATTTCTCCCCACAAGATACTCAACAGAGGGGAACATAAGACGTCATGGGGGAGACGCCTGGCCCACACCACCTGTCCCGGGTGAAGAGATGCAACACCGTGCATCTGGTGTTGAGCACCGAGGACACAGCACCACTGCTGTGATCTCAACGTCATCATGTGAAAATGTCCCATCAGCCCGAGTGGAAAGGCAGTCTGCCCAATTACCGGCCAGCATGTCTCCAGGCCATCCAGGTCAGGGCGCCTCAGGGGCTCAGCAGGTGAAACGTTCCGATTCTTGATTTCAGGTCAGGACATGATCTCAAGATCGTGAGATCGAGCCCCATGTTGGGCTCTGTGCTGGATGGGGAGCCTGATTGGGATTCTCGGTCTTCCTCTCCTTCTGCCCAACCCTCACCCTCGCTCTCATGCACTCACTCTACCTCTTAAAAAAACAAAACACCGACCATCTAGGTCACAAAGACAAATGGGACTGTCCCAGATTGGAAGAATGGAGGATTGCAAGGTGACTCAGCCAGTTACATGCGGTCAACTAGAAAGTGGACGTGGGGGGCGCTGGTATACAGAAGTATACAGAAACGGTGCAAATTACAACTTTTATGTACATTTACAGGTATTTCCAGGTAAAAACTTAAAAAGAAAATTTAATACTTCAGACTGTAGCTCCACCTGTAGGGGTGGGGGCCTGAGAACATGCATACCTCACCCCACCCACCCCACCTGCCCTCCTCCAGGTACCCTCCTCAGCTCCTGGAGAGCCCTATCAAGGGCCCCCCTATGGCTCCCCACCCTACCCAAAGCCACTAAAGCAAAGCCGGAGAAAGTTCTCAGGGATCAATGTGTTTACTCACAACAGCACTTTAGGAAAACGGGCAAACATGCCCACTGCACTATGATGAACCACAGCTGTGGAGCTCTGCACCCACTGGGCACCGGGACAGTCAGGATCTTCTCTGAACCCCCAGCACATGGGCATCCTGAGAGACCACAGCCAGGGAGTAAGGCGAGGCCGGCATTGTGGAAGAAAGGCCAGACAGCACGCTGACCCGCCCTCTGGGGTCTCACACCAGTCTCGGGCATCCAGGTTGCTCCAACCCAACTGACCACACAGAATACCCAGGGACAAACAAGTCCAGAGGAATCACACGTAGCGAGTCACGGTAAAGATCTCCAACATTTCTTTCCAAGAGCCACTGGTATGAGGACAGCGTGGGCACCGGGAGCCTCTGGGAAAGGCTGGTTGGGTGGTCAGCTGTGCACGGAGCCGGGCCCCGCTCAGTACCAACCATGAAGTTCTCACAAGCTCACACCAAGAACGGGGCTTGGACCCAAGTGCTCCCCATCTGCTGTCTGCTCCTTCTATTTTGGCAAAAAAACAAAAAACCCTGGAAGCTTCAAGAAAACAAAGTAAACCTCAGGAAATGAGAAACGCAGAAACTGCTGCCTGTCCCAGGAACTTATCAGGAGGAGCTACTGCTAGCCACCCGGCCGAGGCTGCCACGGCTTCTCCCCAATGCTGGCCCCACCAGGGGCCCCTCTCGGAACGTGCAAGCTCCCAGGTCGGATGGTGCGAGCCCACAGGCAGGAGAAGAGACCAGTCGGGGGGTGGGGGGGAGGCACCCATTATTTACAGCACAGAAGAGAACAACGCAGACGCAGCACCCCAAGCCGGAGTGTGGACCACCTGCTCCTCGCTGGGAGGGACCGCAGTGCAGACCTGAGTTCCTTCAGGACACACAGCACACCCCTCGGGGCCCCAGGCCCTCCAGAGGCGACAGTGGAACGAGGATGGGGGCCCCCTGGGTGGGCGTGCCTGGACGTGGAGCATGGCGCCTGACGCCAGGGATCCCAGGTGGGGCTCAGCCAGCTGGCCTCCAGGTGCCTGGCAGCAGGAAGAAGCCCTGACGCCCACTGGCTGACCACTAGGAGCACATCTGCCGTTACCCGGAGTCTGAAGGCCCCCATGGCCCACACGACGTCCACTGTTCGGTCCCCGTCAACATCTCAGAGGGTGGGGGTGCGGAGGGGGGCCTGCAGAACCCCGAGCTGGCCGGCCCGGAGTCACAGAAATAACCCACAGAAGTCAGAAGGTTGTGCAAACTCACCCACCAGGACACAGAGCCACCGTCTACGCTAAGAGGGACAATTCCCAGGCCTGGAGGGAGGGCCACGCTGCAGGGTGTGCAGAAAGGCAAGAGGCATGGGGAGAGAGATGGAGCCCTCCTCCCCGGCCCTTCCTGCACGTCACGGCCAGGGAAGCAGGGCCCTGCAGGAGGGCTCGGCTAGTTTCTCAAGGCGGCCAACCTGCAAATCAACGACACAACTCCTGTGAGGGAGGGCGAGGGGCAGAGGTGCCTCTGAACTGCGGTGCACTCAATACGAGATGCCAACCCTGGCGGCCATGGCCCTCTCCTCTCAAGCTCAGCCTTGCAAGGCTGTCCTGGGATAGCACAGGAAAAGCTTGGGGACCAGCCATGTGCTGTCAAGTGTCGTTATGGGAGTTCCTAAAGCGAACTGTGGACAAGTGTGTGAGCACGTGGCTGACACCCAACACGGACATGGAGCAAGGGCAGGGGAGAGGCAGGCAGACGGAGCCTGGGCTGGGCCTCGGGTGGGGGCCTCCTCGGGAGCAGCAGCGCCAAAGCCCGGCCCCACGAACTCTCCTCCCGGGGCCTCGGTGTTCCCTTCTTCCCTTCCCTTCCAATGTGCCTCCTTCCCCCACCAAGCCGGCGTCAGAACATGCAGTGACCAGCCCAACATGGGGGCACTGCGCCCACCTCCGAGACAGCTGGTCCTCCTGGCTGCGCACGGAGCTCTCGCCCACGGCAGAGGCGCCCTCGGGCAGCTGGCTGAGCTGGTCCAAGACCTCCAGGCCATTCTCCTCAGCGATCTGCACGATGAGGCTGTCCACCTGCTCCTGCGGCGTGGTCAGCGTGGTGGCCGAGCTCATGGAGTCCTCCATTACCTGGGGGTCATGTTCTGGGCAGGTGGGTGCAGGCCCTGGGACCTCCGCTGCGGCCCCGTTTCTGGCCACCCTGTCAACCATGCTTCCTGCTCACTCCCACTACCTGCACCAGCCCGCGCCCCCCCCCAACCCCCAGGGCGCTTTCTCCAGCGCTCTCAGTCCCCGGGGTGCTGAGCTGGCCACTGCTCTGGAAGATGCGCTCACACCCTAGCCTCGGGCTTCCCTCTTATCTGCTAGACCTCCATGTGCTGGTCCAGACCCCGCAAGAGGCAGGTGCTCCGGAGGTGGCCCCCACAGAGGGGGGCCAGCCACACAAGCCACCCCCCGGACACGCCCCCTGCACGCCAAGACCACAGGCAACATACCGATGTGTGCACATCCAGGTTCTGCACCTGCTGCTCAAACCTGTCCATCACCGCAGAGACCTTCTGCAAGTCCATGGTGCTCAGCGCCCTGTCCAGGGCTTTGGTCACCTGCGCCATGTTCTTGGTCACCTGGCACAGGACAAAGTGAGGAGGCAACAGAACTGAAGCAAGGAGATGTCACTCACAGGAGACGGGCCCTCGGCACTCTCCTCCGGCACACAGCGCCCCAGGGCCAACAAGACTCCAGCCCTGGCCAAGCCAAGCCGTGCTCAGGACCGGCTGGACCCCTCGGGACTGCAGGGCTCTTTCCTGGCAGGTCTCCAGGAAATGCTGTCAACTAAACTACAGACACGAGACCCAAGCCATGGCCCCTTAAGAAAAATCTGAGGACACCTTGTCTAGTCCTTTGGTGCTGCCCTTACGGTGTGGAAGGAATCCCCACTACACCACCAACGGGGTCCGGCACGGCTCCTCGACTCTGCCGGCCGAAGCTGGCCCACGTGGCTTATGACTCTGGGCACGAGCACTCACCCCCTTCATGGTCACGGCCGTCTGCACCTTGGAGGCCACTGCGTCCACGCGGGATGCCATGCGGAGCCAGTTCACACCTTCATTCTTCTTGCGGATGGCATTCTCGGCATACACACGTGCACACTCCACGTTCTTCTGCTGAAGGGCCTGAAATTCGCAGGAAGCACGAGCTGGGGGAATGTGGCTGTTCTATGAACAGCCTGGTCCTGGCTGTTCCCAGGCCGAGATCTGCTAGCATGGGACAGCCCCTTTGGCTTGTGAGCTTCATGAAAACGCTGAAATGCCAGGCCCCCGGCCTGTTCAGGACCTAGGGTGTCCAGGCAGGGTGCCAGACCAGCCCAGGCTGGGGGCTACAGAGGAGGCCTGGTCCCAGGGACACAGCCGCCTCTCCCACCTGCCGGCCTGTCCCCTCCAGCTGCACACCCTCTTCAGTCTCTTCAGCTGCCCACACCACAGGATCTCACAAAAACCACTGAGGCAAATGCCGACCCAAAGCAAGCAGGACCATGGAGGAAGATGAAGGAGCTGACTGGAGTCAGTCCTCCAGTTTCCCTTCTGCCCTGGGAGTGCCAGTTTGGGTGAGGGGGTCACCAAATTCTAACACCCCCAGGAGCCAGCCCACACAAGAAACAGCTGTCTGGAAGTCCCCACTGAGAGCAGCCAGAGCCTGCCTCCCCTCACCTCCCCTCTGCCCAGGTTCTGAAGCTTAAGGCACGTGCTATGCACGGAGGAGAGCAGGAAGGGACGGGGTCGCGGCAGGGACGGCTGGAAGCCCACATCCCACATACTTTGTGAAAAATGCACGTTCAGAACTTTGGAAGTGAACAAAAGGCATGGACGTTCCATGAAAAAAGCAAAGGCAACACACAGTTCTTTTGCTCTGGACGCCCCTTAGTGGGCAGGGAGGCAGAGGGGGGCCACTGCAGGCCCTGAGCAGGCTCCTGAGAGAACACCCAGGGCCAGAGTCGTGGGGCGCCCCTCACACAAAAAGAAGACACCAGAACAATGCAACAGAAGCCCCAGAAGCAAGGGATGCGGCCTGGGCGTGGTGCAGCCTCACCTTCTTCACTTTGGCCTGCTCCGCCTTGGAGTCCTTCTCTGCCTTCTTGGCCAGCTTCTCCAGCTGCTTTGCCGTGAACTGAGCAGAATCGGGACACTCAGGTCAGACACACACAGCCCGTCCTTTGGTACCTCCCCACCCTCCTCAGCACCCCCTGCCCCGACTGCACAGAGAAGGTGCCCAGCCTGCCAGTGTCCTCATGGCCCTGGGCTGCATGGAGGGAGCTCCCTGGGTCTCTGAGGCTCAGGGGACAGGGAAGGCTGTGAGGGTTTCCTAAAATGTCCTAACCCAGAATGCCTAACCCAAAGCCTCCCCCAGAGTGGAAAGTTAAAAAGCCAACTCACACAGGGGCGCCTGGGCAGCTCAGTCGGTGAAGCATCTGCCTTTGGCCCAGGTCCTGATCTCAGGGTCCTGGGATGGAGCCCCACATCGGGCTCTCTGCTCAGTGGGGAGCCTGCTTCTCCCTCTGCCCCTCCCCCCACCCACTGGCTCATGAACTCTCTCTCAAGTGAGTAAAATCTTTAAAAAAAAAAAGCCAACTCACACAATCACTACTACTTACAGATTTTCTTTCTTTCCTTTTTTAAAGATCTATTCATGAGAGAGAGTGCGCAGGCGCAAGGGGGAGGGGCAGAGAGAATCTCAAGCAGACTCCCCGCTAAGCACAGAGCACAACATGGGGCTCGAACTCAGGACCCTGAGATCAAGACCTGAGCCAAAACCAAGACTGAGCCACCCCTACTTATGGATTTTCAACTTTCGGGAAAAACTCGACAGAATCTGTTTCAGGTGACCCAAGTGGTAATACAGAATTCCCGATGAACATACACCTCAAAGTGTTCTCTTCACAGAACATTGTGTTTGTGAGGGGCTGCTGGGCAGTGCATGCTCCCAGGCCTGGTTGGAGTGGTCCCCACAGCTCCCCCAAAAAGGCCTCATTTAACCAGGAAGCTGGCAGGAGAGAATGCTCAGATAACCCAAGTGAAAGAGCGACCTTCCAGAGGCCCATATAGCTTCCTGGCTGGTGGTGTTCTGGTGTTCCCTCAGCCTGAAACACCCCCCTGACTGGGACTCCCCCTCCCTGCCCCTCAGCACCCCCCCAACTTGGGACTTTCTGTCACATAGAAAGGGTTTCTTGTCAGCCTACCTCACACTCCTACGTTCTTTTTTTAAATATATTTGTCAGAGAGAGACAGAGAGAGAGCACGAGGGATGTGTAGGGCAGAGGGAGGAGACTCCCCGCTGAGCAGGGAGCCTGATGTGGGACTCGATCCCAGGACCCTGGGATCATGACCTGAGCCGAAAGCAGGTGCTTAATCGACTGAGCCTCCCAGGCACCCCCTCCTACATTCCTTCAGGGGAAAAATCCAGATTTTCCTGACCCAGGAATCTGGCCCTGAGCACCTTCCACAAGGTGGAAGCTTGCTGAACAAAGTGCCTGGGGCCTCCTGGTATTCCCTGCCCTTCCTCTCCATTGCAAAGCCAGTGTGATGAACTACGGTTAGCAGCTCGGGCGCATCACTCCCGCCCACTCTTTCAGAACTAACCATGGATGATTAACTATGGAGGCATTTAAGGGAAATGCAGCAGAAGCTTGCCCTGGATTAATTATTATAAGAGGCATGCTCTGCTGCCCACAACACTCTCCTTCAACATGATTTTGAAGAATTTAAAACCAGTTTTAAATGCCTAGTGGAACTTCAAGGGATGCACCTAATACCCAAGCTGTGTTTCTTGAAGATAACAGGCTCACTTCCTCATGGACAAGCCCATGTGATCTGCTTCTGCTCAGCCCAAGACAAGGAAAGGATTAATATGCCATCAAGCCAACTCAATAACCTCCCCTTTGTCATCAGTCCGAAAGAGCACTGCGCAGAAATCACACAATTGGTAATCCGTCCTTCTGAGTGTGACTGACACCATTTGTCCTCATTTGCTAATCACCAAGACAGGGTTGGGGTGAAAGGTCCTTCAGTACATACCTTCAACTGGAACAGGGTATCTGCAAAGAAAGGAGATGGTTTGAGGATTTCAACTGTGACAAGTGGCACTTCTAACAAGCACATGGGGCCACTAAGACCCTCCTCGACACAGAGAGTTGGAACAGGATGCAGGCATGGATGGGGCCTTCAGGGAGGCCCACCGCAAACTGGAGGCAGAAGATGGGCTCGTGCACCAGTTCTGCTCCCTCATCAGTCAGAGGACAAATGTAGAGGCTCCAGAACCTCTGATTCCTTACAGGTGATACCAGGGTGGTACCAGCTGACCTCAAGGATTAGTGTGCAGACAAAACAGATCATGGATGCAGCACATGACCCACAGTGAAACCCCGAGTGGTGGTTTGAAATTATGGCAACTTTACAAAGGCCCTTGGGATTCTTTCCCAATTTAATAAAGCTCAGCATTGGACAATCTGTATTTTATATACTCTTTCTCCCCAAAAGTAACTGGATAAAAGTAGCAAGATGAGGACTCCTGTGCTATCAAAGACCTGACCCACAGAGACCACCCTCCATGGCATCTGGCAAGTCTGAGCCATCAAATCGGGCTCAGGAGCCTACCTGTCCACATGGAGGAACCAAAGAGACTTGAGAGTATTAAGAGCTAACTCTCCGGATAGCCACACTTGCTACTCACTCACCAAAACTCCAGAGCCGGGTAGATCCAGATTCACATTTAAACTATTTCAATTTATTCCATTTTTAAATGTGCAGAATGATGTTTGGAAGGGTTTACCACACTAGCCCAGAACTAAGAAACTGAAATCTGTAACCAGGATGAGGGTGTGTTCACAAATGCAAATCAAGACCCCCCCCAGCTGAGAGCCTTGGGGTTTCAGGCAAGCCCCGCGCGAGCCCCATCAAGGCCAAAGCCGGCTGTGGAATCTGTAAATCAGAGCTAACTGGACACAGCTGACAGGCAGAGTGCCTCCCGCAGGGAAAACAAGGCGCGGTGTGGCCAGCTCTCCAATTTACGGTGTGACTTAAGTCACTGTCTCTCCCTGCCTCGGCTTTCTCATCTCTGCCTGGGCAGCAGGAATAGACTCTCAAGAGCAAAGAGCTGTTAGGGCAAAACCTAACCCTGGAAAAAAGTGATAACGGCCAAAAGAAAATCACCAAACTGCGGAGTAAAACCCAACATCTGTGGTCGGGGGTGTGTGGTGCTGTTCATCTTCTCTCTGAGGGAGCTGGTACAGAACTTCCTTCGGGATAATGACGGTTGTCCAGCTCCTTACGTTTCACAAAGTGATTTTCAAAAGCTCTCGACCACACCAGCCCTTACACATTCCAGCAAACGTAGGTACCTCACTTTATTACCCATCCTTCCCGTCCTTTGGTGTCCCTGGGCGCGGAGCGGGGCAGAGTGGGTGCCGCAGGCAGTGGAGGCCAAGGCTAGGGAGCTCAAGCTCTAGCTCGGTTTCCCCATCCGCAGAAGGGGGGCACCAAGTTCCTACCCCACCCGCACAACCGTGCCGGGCACGGAGTAAGTACTTCTTGCCTGAGCTCTTCTTATTCTTCTTAGTGGTGTTCTGGGGACAGGGGTGCAACTGTCTCCTTTTCCGGTGCCCTCTGACCGGACCTCCCAGTGCCCCAGAGGTCGATGTCCCTCGCCGGTACAGGAACTGGGGGTGTGGGGGTGGATGCTGAGGAGTCTGGTGAAGGGGGTGAGGGTCCGGTATCGAGGATAAGGATCGGGGTCCGGGTCCCCGATCGAGCACCGCGGGTCCCGCCCTCCCCCGGCGGGCGGGGTCTCTTACCGTCCATGGCCGGTCCGGCAGCGGCAGCGTTCGCAGGAATGGACGCACAAGATCCCGGGGCCCAGTCGATGGCCCCTACCAGCTCCGCCGCGCGGGAACTTCCGGGGTCACCTCCCACTTCCGGCGAGCGGCAACTCCCGCGAGAGCACGGCGCTGGTCGCGCGGGCGGGGCGTTGCCGTGGCGACCCGCGCCGCTGGGCCACGGGATCCTCTGTGTGTCACTCGGGCTGTGGGCCCGCGGAGGTGCCGAGTGCCGAGCTGCGCCGGCGGGGGCGGTGGGCTCACCTATGGGACTTTCCAAAAGCAAACACAAATCTAGGAAAGGTAAAGGAGCGCCTGCCCGCCGTCTCCTCGGCCGCGTGGCCACGGTTCGCGCGGGGCTGCGGGGGTGCTGGGCGCCCTGCCCGCGCCTGCTCGTCCGCCCTGCGCCGGGGTCCTCCCTGATGACCGTGCCTCGGGGGTCTTTTCACGCATGTTCAGAGAAATGGAAGTGACGCTCTGGACCAAAGCTGGCAACTGGAGGGTGGGGACCCGTGGCTCTAGCTTCAGGAAAATAATACGGCTAATTCACTGTCCATGGATTTCAGGTGAGGAGAAAAAGAAGGGGCGCGGCTCTTCCCCTGCAAAGACTAAGGAAAGGTCGATGGACAGGCGTTCTCAAGAGACCGAGAGGCCTCCAGACACCAAGGCTGCAGAGAGCTTCCAAGGGAAGAAGGGGGCAGCCAAGCGACAGTGGCCTCCTTCATCTGAAGTCGAAGGTAGGACATGCCCAGGACCGGATGGAACCCGCAGCCAGGATTTTGGGGGTGGGATACTAATGGTAGGGGCTCTAGGACCTTTATCTAGGAGGTAAATATCCAGGATTGTAGGTGGAAAATGTATCACAAAATGTGATAGGCGCCCAGCGGGTAGTCAAGAGGGGCTGCGCGGTGTACAGCTACACAGCGCACTCCCCGATCCTTCAACGTTCCGCGGACCGGAACAGCAGCGTGGAAGGCTACTTCAGTCTGGAGTACAGTCGTGTAAGAAGGGATGTGGGGGCCCCTGCCTGGGCACGGGGATCAAAGGGACTAGAACGTTGGTGGGACAAAGGGGTTGAACAGTTTGGCAAATTTATTCACTTTGTTTACAGCCCAGGGTGGCTAGACCTTTGCATGTAGGTGGCTGGGGAGATGAGGCCACAGAAGCAGCGGAATAGGAAGGCTTTCATCTGTTTTGTCCTGTGCGTTGTGGAAATTGAACTGTTAAAACAAAGGAGGTGTGATGGGGTTTGTGCCTTGGCAAACTGTTTCTTTAGAGTAGAGGCTGTTGGGGGCAGTGAGGGGACGGGTCCTAGGCCCAAGGCTGCAACTGAGTAGGAGCTAATGAAGCACGGGCAGTAGGAATTCCAAAAGGGTCCAGGACGTAGAACCAGCAGAACTTGCTGTTGGATGAGTTGTGGGAGGTCCAGGGCCATGAGTTTCACTGACCATGAGAATGGATGGTCAGTGGATCAGCCGATGTCAGGAGGAATGCTGGCCTGGCAGGGAGAGAGGAGCCGGGCGCAGGCTCAGACTGAGACACCTGTGAGGTCATCAAGGGCAGGAAGCTGTTTGAAATGAGGGTGTTGGGCTTGGGAGCAAGGCCTGGACTTCAGATCCTGACGTACACATCCTTGCTTAAGAGTGGAAGACTGCAGGAAGGGCCAGAGTCCTGGGGAGGAGGTTTGGAGAATGCTACCAGTCTGTCAGGAGCCTTCTGGCTGCAAGCCACACAACAGCCAACAAGATACGGCTTTACTGCTGAGCACTTCAATGTCCCCCAAATAAAGGGTCAGAGGAGGGCACTCAGGGTGGCTTGCTCAGCAGCGTGCAGTGACATCAAGGACCTTGGGTCTACACTTTTGCCACCCTCAGTATCCACGGTCCCGAGACAGCTGGATGGCTCTAGGTGTCACATGCATACAGGACTGCTGTCCCGTCCCTTCCCCTGCTGGACCTAACTTGCCCAACATTGCTAGGATGGGCTCAAATGTGAAAATTCTGGGGCTGGACCTCTATCAGTAAGGGCAGGTGTGGGTGGGGGGGGGGTGCCTGCTGGAGAGGCACAAATAGTGTCTGTCACACCCTCATTTCAGAGGGTAGAGAGAAGTTGGACATAGAGGGGAAAGGTCAGAGAGCAAGAGTGAGGATGGACTTTCAAAGAAGGTGAAGAGTGTGGTTCCTCCATATAAAGAAACACCTCAGCAATAACACAGAGCAAGCTACTGCCACATGCTCTAGTACCATGAAGGAGTTCCCAAATCCTGGTACTCCAGCGAAAGAAGCCAGATGTAAAGACCACATATATTATTGTTCCATTTATATGAGATGTCCAGAAAAGGCAAATTTATATAAAGGGAAGCTTGGACTAAGGGTGGGAACAGAGTAGCCACAAATGGGCAGAAGAGGTCTTCTGAAGGTGATGGAAATGTTCTTAAAACTGCATCGATGGGCGTCCAGCTCTGAAAGTTTGCTAAAAATCATTGAATGGTATGCTTTAAACAGGTGGTATGTAAATTAGAATGCAACAAAGCTGTGAAAAAAGAAAGAAGGTAATAAAAAAAACTCTCAAAAGAAAGAAAGAAGGTAAAATAGTCGACAGTGTTGTATGTTGCACAGAGATTGCATAAACCCAGAAAAGACCATTGAATAAGGCGAGTCGCTGGTCTTGGTGGCCTTGCAGAGAGCACAATCCAACAATCAGAAGTGAAGACAGACACATGGTCTGCCAGGTAGAACATTTGAACTAGGGCAAGAGCATCCTCTCTTAAGCTGAAAAATTTCCTTATTAGATTTGGAAAAGGTAGGATTTTTGGAAGTCAGTTTCCTTCAAATAACCTAGTACCGTAGAAGCCTTAGAGGAATGCAGAGTCCTGATGAGTCAAACCTTCTGTGCATTACATAATAAAAGTAGGTATTACTACTGTGGGACAGAAATCAGAAAGTTCTTCTGGGGTCGGGGGGAGGGGGAGACTAGCTGACTGGAGGACTCTGTAAGGTGATAAAGTTCTGCATCTTGTTTGGGTGATTACAAAGGTGCGTACAATTGTGAAAACTCATCCAGCTGAACATGTTAAGAACTGTGCGTTTTATCTTGTGTGAATTGTGCCTCAAAAAGCTTGGAAGACAAGTCCTTGTCTCTTAGAGCTGCACCCAAAATACTGAAGTATAAATCGATGTGACTGATGGAGATGGTATCAGAGATTTGTTGCAAAGTGAATGAGCATAGTGTGGCTGAGGGCATTTCCCAAAGGCAGCCACCACTCCGCCTCTCCCTCTCGTTCTACCGTGCGACCTTGATGCTCCTCCCACCCGGGGGAGTCTGTATCCTCTCTCAAATCTCTGCAAGCTTGACATTTTCTTGTAACCAGTAGAATGTGATGAAAATGGTTTCTGAGGCTGGGCCATGACCGGCGATGCAGTCCTGCCTTGCTCACGGGAACCCAGGCTGGTGCTTGGAACTGAGAGCTGCCACATCGTGCTGTCAAGAAGCTCAGCCACCTGGGGAGGCCATGTGGGGGTACTGCAGTCAGCAGTCCTGATCGCTAACTGCCTTCCAGCCCAAGTGCCAGATTTGTGAGTGGACAAACCTTTAGGTGATTCTAGCCCCTGGCCTTTGAGTCTTCCCAGCTGAGCCACAGGACCCCATGTAGCAGCAGCGGCAGTGACCAGCCCTGTGAGTGGCCATCTTGCACGTCCAGCACAGTGGAGCCTTCCAAGAACTGCAGCTCCAGACAACACTCACCTGTAGCCATCTGGGGACCATAAGTGATAGCTGCCTAGTCAAACCTGTCCTGAATTCCCAACCCTTAAAATTGTGAGAAAATAAAACCATTGTTTTAAGCTAATAAAGGTTGGGGTAAGTGGTTATACAGCAGTAGTAACCAGAACAGAGGCTAAGTGCTGGGCAGAGATAAAGTTTGACTGTGGGTTTTAACTGTGTGATGGGGTATATCATCTTGTCTCACTACTTACGTATATGCTTAAAATTTTGCATTACAAAATCCACATACACACATTATAGAGATTAATACACCACAGATTTGCAATCAGCCAGTTCCAAAATGCTGGAAATCCTACTGAAAAAGAAGACCCTAATTTTTCTACAAATAAATGACATCAGGGTGCATGGGTGGCTCAGTCGGTTGAGCATCTGACTCTTGATTTCAGTTCAGGTCATGATCTTAGGGTTGTGAGATCGAGCCCTGTGTCGGACTCTGTGCTGGGTGTGGAGTCTGCTTAAGATTCTCTCTCTCTCCCTCTGCCCTTCCCCATCCTCCAAAAAATTTTTTTAAAAATGACATGAAAAAAAGGAGGGTGTCTTAGTCTGGTTGGGCTGCTATAACAAAATACCATACACTGGGTAGCTTCACAGACATTTATTTGTCATAATCCTAGAGGCTGAGGAGTCCCACAACCTGGGTACCATGATTTGGTTCCTGAGAGGACCCCTTCTTGGCCTGCAAACAGCCATCTAATTGCTGTGTCTTCACATGGCTAAAGAGAGAGGATTGTGGTCTCTTCCTCCTACTGTAAGGGCACTGATCCCATCTTGGGGGCTCTACCCTATGACCTCAATTCAACCTGATCACCTCTCAAAATCCCCACCTCCAAATACCATCCCACTGGGGATGAGGGCTTCAAAACATGACTTTTGGGGGGATACAAACATTCAGTCCATAGCAGAGAGGACTGTATAAGATTTGAGGGACCTAGGTGCCGCAAATATAGTATAAGTCATTCTTGAGATAACTAAATTGGGTATTAGATAATAATACAGAATCAATGGTAGTTTTCTTAGATGTAACAAGGCTATTGTGATGCTAAAACAATCCTTTTTTGATAGAGCTCTATACTGCATTATTTATGGGTAAAATTATGTCTGAGATTTGCTTGAAAATACTCAAAAAAACTGAGGAAGATAGAAAAAACAAGGTGACAAAATATTGATTGAAGCTGAGTGATGCATATATGGGTATTCACTGTCCTGTTCTATTTTCATGTATGTCTGAATATTTCCATAGTTTTTTTGAAGGTAGAATGTGATTATTTGCAATAAATTTTTGAAAAAGAAGAGAAACTTAAGGAACATTTATTTCTCAGCTACTAAAAATATACTGAGTGAAAAAAGTCAAGTTCAAAAGGTCACATGCTGCATGACTCCATATATATAATGTCCTCCAGGTGACAAAATTATAGAGATGGGAGAACAGACCCGTGGTTGCCAGGAGTCAGGGATGGCAGGGAGTGGGGAGGTTGCAGGGGGAGAACGATGTAGCTATTAAGATACAGCGAGAAGGAGGTCCCTGTGGTGATGGAACAGTTCTGTACCTTGATCTTAGTGATGTTTACATGGGATTAAACGGCATAGAACACACATTGTGCCAAAATCAATGTCTTGGTGTTGTTATATTGTACTGTAGTTACATAAGATGTTACCATTGGGACCACTGGGCGAAACTGGGTGAGGGTATATGGGACTTCTCTGTACTTTTGCAACTTTCTGTGAATTTGTCACTTCAAAATTAAAAGTTTAAAAATTTATCAAAATTGGGGCACCTGGCTGGCTCAGTTGGTAGGCTCAAGTCGTGATCTCAGGGTCCTGAGATGGAGCTCCAAGTCGGGCTCCGCACTCAGCAGGGAGTCTGCCTGAGGATTCTCTCCCTCTCCTCCAACCCCCATCCCCTGCTCATGCACTCCCTCTCAAATAAAAATGTATGACTCTTGATCTCAGGGTTGTGAGTTTGAGCCCCACGTTGGGTGTAGAGATTACTTAATAAAGTCTTTTTAAAAATCTATCAAAATTTATAATACTTAAAATAATGTAGGTGCAGTATAATATTGGATCAGTGCAGGGTGCGTGGGTGGCTCAGTCGGTTAAGCGTCTGACTTCGGCTCAGGTCATGACCCTAGTGTCCTGGGATCCTGGGATCAAGCCCAAGTTGGGCTCTGTGCTCGCTCGCTCTCAAATAAATAAATAAAATCTTAAAGAAAATACATCAATGAAATAGAAAATATGGACAAAAATAAAGCCTTACTATGTACGTGTGTGTTTGTGTGTAATTAGCATGTAATAAAACTAGTACCAAGATGAAGTGGCAAAGGAAGGATTATACAATACATTCTAGGAAAATTGCTTAACATTTTAAGAGAAAGTTCAAGTTGAATTTTAACCTCCTGCCATATGCTCAAATTCCAGATGAGTACAAGTGAATATAAGAGGTGACTACAGGGGCGCCTGGGTGGCTCAGTCGGTGAAGCGTCTGCCTTTGGCTCAGGTCATGATCTCAGGGTCCTAGGACTGAGCCCCATGTTGGGCTCCCTGCTCAACAGGGGGGTCTGCTTCTCCCTCTGCCCCTCCCCCACCCCGCTTGTGCTTTCTTGCTCACTCTCTAATAAATACATAAAATCTTAAAAAAAAAAAAGTGACTGCAAAAAGTAAGATGTACATTTTAATATGAGTCCTCAGTAGGGACCATCCTTCTAAGCCTCAAAACAAAGACACTGCAAAGATATATTGAAGGATTTGACTACATTAAGAAGTAAAACAAGGGGAACCATCTGCAGTATGATCATGAAGGGGAAATCTCCTCAACATGCAAAAAGCTCTCACACACCAAAAAGGTCAAAGTACAAAATGAGGAAAGAATATGACATGCGTTCACAGGAAAATAAATACCACTGGGCCATGACCAAGCAAAAAGATGCTCAACCTCCCCATACTGGGGTAAAGCTTCAGGGAAGTTGAAGGTGACCAGTGGGGGCAGAAGTCAATACTTCCATTTTCATATAACATGGGAAAAGATTTAGCAAACTGACAATTAGGGGAAGATATGGAGAAATGTCCTATTTACACAAATTCTTAGTGGAAATACATATGTATATGTATATATATATATTTTTAAAGATTTTATTTATTTATTTGACAGAGAGAGAGACAGCGAGAGAGGGAACACAAGCACAGGGAGTGGGAGAGGGAGAAGCAGGCTTCCCGCGGAGCAGGGAGCCCGATGCGGGGCTCGATCCCAGGACCCTGGGACCATGACCTGAGCCGAAGGCAGACACCCAATGGCTGAGCCACCCAGGCGCCCCAGTGGAAATATATATTGATATAATCTTTATGAAAAACAGTTTGACAATATTTGCCAAAATCCTCCTCCTAGTAACTTACCCAATAAACCCTCACAAATGTGTAAATATATAAATGCAAGAATGTTAACTACAGCATCACTTGAAAAATATAAAAATTGGAAATAACTTAAATTATGTTCATTCAAGGGAGCTGGTAATGTAATGGATGGGTTCCCAGATAGTGGAGTCCATGCTGCCATGGAAGGGACCAACTTGTATGCACAGACATGGAGCTCAGCCAAGCCATAATGTGATCCTAAATGCATCACACTGTGCATGCACATATGAAATGTCTGGAAGGAAAGAATCCTCCCATATGCAATTTTTAATTGTGTATTATTTTTTAAATCAAATATTCATAGCCTTTTAGTCTTAACATATAAAAGTGTATATAAATTAATGTAAAAAATGAACCTCCAATTTAAATTAAATACAAAATATGAAATGCAGTTTTTGACTTAATGATAAAAATAAAAAGGACACTCCCAGGCGCCTAGGTAGCTCAGTTGGTTAAGCGACTGCCTTCGGCTCAGGTCATGATCCTGGAGTCCTGGGATCAAGTCCCACATTGGGCTCCCGGCTCGGCGGGAGGCCTGCTTCTCCCTCTGACGCTCTCCCCTCTCCTGCTGTTTCTCACTCTCTCTCTCACAAATAAATAAATAAAATCTTAAAAAAAAAAAAAAAAAAGGACACTCCCAGTGCCTACTGCAGGCCCTGGGTCATTCATTGGTAGTTAAAACAACCAAAGCTGTGGATGTGGCAATGAAGATGGACAGAGGTATGGGGCCCTGGCATCTCCCTCTACCACCCGCTTTGAGCCAATGACCTCTCTGTGCCTCAGTACCTTCGTCTGTAAAACGTAGGTCATAAGAGGACCTACTTCAGGAAGCACTGTGGGTTGGTATTCACTGTCATTATCCTAGGCTCAGAATGATGTCTGACGGAGAACGAGCAACGATTCCCTGTGCCCCCAGGTAGCCGGGTTCATGAGGTATTTTAAGTGGAGCACAAAGCACCCTGAAAAGCAGTGGGACCAGCGTGATAGCATTTTTATAACAATCATGTGACAATGTGATTATTCTAACTCTACTTGCATGCATATGTGCACAGAGAGAGAAAGAGCCTTCTCTGTAGTGCTTGAAGAGAGGCCTGAAAGGCGGTGCCTCCAACCTGAAACCCCGGGGGCGCAGGCTGGGAGATGCAGCAGGGGAGGCATGAAGGCACTTCTGCTTATGTATTTTGTAACATCTGGCAAACTTGGCATTTCGTAAGTCCTATGCAATCCTTGTAAGCTTAAGAAAATGTTGTGACCCGTATCAGAAATGTTAATTCTTGGACGCCTGGGTGGCTCAGTTGGTTGAGCGACTGCCTTCAGCTCAGGTCATGATCCTGGAGTCCCGGGATCGAGTCCCGCATCGGGCTCCCTGCTCAGCAGGGAGTCTGCTTCTCCCTCTGACCCTCTTCCCTCTCGTGCTCTCTATCTCTCAAATAAATAAAATCTTAAAAAAAAAAAAAAGAAAGAAATGTTAATTCTTGAGGCGCCTGGGTGGCTCAGTCAGTTGAGCATCTGACTCTTGGTTTTGGCTCAGGTCGTGATCTCAGGGTCGTGAGATTAAGCCCCATGTCAGGCTCCACACTCAGCGAGGAGTCTGGTTGAGGATTCTCTCTCTCTCTCTCCCCCTCTCTGCCCCTCCCTCTGCTCACATTCGCTCTCTAAAATAATAAATCTTTTTTTTAAAAAAGAAGAAATGTTAATTCTTCTGCATTCTGATTGATATGGTTCTATACAGAGAGGGGTTTTTTTGCGGGGGGGTTACCAGATTTAGAACCCTTTAAAAACTGTGTATCTGAACCTTCACCTCTGGGGCAGACCCTGCCTCTTCTCTCTCCATTCCCTTTCCTTCTACGTCTGTCACACAAGCTGGCCGGCAGCTCAGTCTCTCCACAGTGGATGGCAGAAGTGTGTCTCCCCCTTTCTTCCCTGAAAGAGGGTGCCTAGCATTCACCACCCTCATGCCTGAGTTGTCAATTGGTTAAAGATCCGGAACACACATTTACTGTTTTGACTGCTTTCAACCCTGCCCACTTCTTTTCCTGAACTACACATCTAATTCTTTTGCTTTGGCCCTAACACATGCATTGTCTGCCTTAGAGAAGAGCTTTTCCAAAGACATGTTAAATACCTGGATGTTTTCTTCCTTCTAGAGAAACCTGATGTAAAGGTAAAGGCGAGCAAGAAGAAAGCTGCCATTCCACAGATCATCATCACTAGAGCCTCAAAAGAGACTCTAGCCAGCTACAGTTCCATCGGAAGTGAAGAGCAGAGAACCATTAAAGAGCAGGTGGAATGGGGCCCCTACTCCCGACACAGAAACCCCAGTACAGTAGACGCCTATGGTTTACGAGAATAAACAAGCACCCCGAGTAGCTGGCATTATTCACTGTGCTCTGAGTCTCAGCGATGATGGCAGAAGGGCCATCCTGCCCTGTGGGAAGCTGCAGTTGCCCCTCAGTAAATGAGGTTCCCCCAGTGACCACCTTGGTCTTCCCTTCCCCAGAGCTGCTGGCAGCTTGGCAGAGGGCAACAGTGACTCTGGCTCAGAGACTGAACTTCGTGGTAGTAAGTGAATTAGTGTACCTCTGTTGTAACTGGCTATGCAGGGCAATGAACCAGTGGCCGGTGGCATCTCTCTTTCTTGGTGGGCAGTTAAAGTCCTTCCCGTCCACTTCTGAAGAAGTGTGGTGTAAGTACTCGACAATTATAGCGAATGAGATGTCCCCCACACTTGGAAGAAGGTTGGACTCTGAGGACTCACTTTCAACGCATCAAATCCCAGAACAGTAAAGTACACAGTCACCCGGGGCGGGGCGGGGGGGGGGAGGGGGCAAGGATTCCTACCCTGACTGTAACTTGACGCAGAGTATTAAAGGATCCAGAGGAAGAATGTGGAATTGGGGCAGGGGCCAGACATGGCACTGAGAACTTTGGCAGTGGCCTTGTCAGAGCTACTGTGGGAGGAGGGGAGTTGAGCTGACAACTTCCTGTCTTCCTGGCTTTCAGGGGACCCCTGCTGGCGTTCCACCCTCCTCAGCAGCTCATGGGTGAGGCTCCACTCTCCTCCAGAGTGGCTGGAGAGAACGCCCTGCCCTGTCTGGTCTGAGACTTTTAGTCTGGTAACACAGTATGTGTTGGTTTCCTTGGTTCCTAAAAGGTCAGCAGGCTTTACACTTGGTCTTTATGTCTCTATCTATTGAGGAGAATCATATTCTTTTAGTATTAAATAGTACAACCGACTTCCAATCAGTTTCAGTATAACCCCAAAAAGAATAATGAATTTCATTTTGGCACTGATTAGTAGCACATTATCAGCATCATTACTTGTATTTGTTCAATACATTTATTTACCCATCCTGACTCACAACTATGTGTACAGAAAAATCAAGCCCATGCAAATGAGGGTCTGACTCCATTGGGTTAGCGCGACTACCTTCCCCATAATTTCTAGTAGCCATTACATTTCTATTATTTGACCTAGAAATTGCCCTCCTCCTACCCGTCCTGAGAATCTCAAACAATAATGTAAAAACTATACTAATTCTAATTTCATTATTACCTAGAAGCTTAGCTTACGAATGAATTGAAAAAGGACCGAAATGAAGTGACTATGACAATTAGTTTACATTAAAACAACTGATTTTTACTAAGTTACGATTAACTTCACAGTTACCACCTCTGCCTAGCTGATGTTACGCCTAGCTCCTTCACAGCAGGCCTTTCCGGGCCCCCCGTTGTAACACGCTGCGCCCCCGCCCCATGCCATCACCGCCTTGCCTGCAGCATCACTGTCGCGCCGTCTACCTGACTCACCTCGTCCGCCAGCCTGCAGCGGGGACGGGAGGTCCGCGAGGCCCGAGCCCGACAGGGCCCCGCAGGTGGCGGGCGCTCCACCCGCAGATGCCCGGAGCGCGGCCTCCCAGCCGCTCTTCCCGCACCTTTCGGACGCCCTCTGCTCCCCGCCCCAGCCTGGCTCCAGAGCCGCCCTCGGGAGCTCCAAGGGAGCCCCCCGCCCCTCAGACTTCGGCCTCCTCCTCCTCCGGCGGCCGTTCCTCAGCACCCCAGCCGCCTCGGGTGCCCGCGCTTAAAACTAAAATAAGGCCCGAACGTCGGTAGTGCGAGGGGATGGCAGGAACTGAGGTCCTCCCGGTGTCGTCGCAAGGTTCCCCGGGTAACCGTCGCTAAGGGAGAAATGCCCCGGACGTACTCCACGCGCCTGCGCGGAAGAACCTCGTCTGCGCCTGCGTACACGGGCACTGAGGGGCCTGCGCTCGGCATGGGGGACCCGGAGTCAGAGTCGGAGCAGATTCGTCTGAAGTGTATCCGTAAGGACGGCTTCTTCACGGTGCCTCCGGAACACAGGGTGCGACTGGGGTGCCGCTCAGGGTAGCTTGCCGGCAGCAGGGCGGGACTGGAACGCTCTGGAGCCCCTTAGTGTCGTGCTAAAGCGTTGAGGTTTCCGACGCGGGCGGGAACGACAGTCCCAGAGTTCCTGGCGGCCGGCGCGGAAGCCGGCGGTGGTCCTTCGGGGCCGAGGGCCGGGGCCGGTGGCGGAGCCCGGCGCTGTCCAGCAGCCTGCAGCCTCTGGAAGAGCAGGCTCCGGGCTCTAGGGAATTTCCCCGTGGGAAGACTGCCGGCGTGCTCTCCCACTGGGCTTCGAGTGGGCCAGGCGGCGCCCCACCCGAGAGCCGGCAGCTTGCGTCCGCGTCTTGCTCTGCGCGAGGCCTCTGCGTGTGTCCCTGTCACGTAGTCCAAAGATGGGGAGAGCGAAGCTTGGGGTGTGGAGTGGTTGTTTGAACTCTGGTGGCTGGATTGTGTGGGAACCGGTGCCCTGAGAGGCCGGCAAGGACCCTGAAGGCACGGTGGCAGGTCACGGGCCCGCTGGCCATCCCCCAGATACGCAGCAGGTGCTCTCTTCGTTCCCGGTACTGCAGTGCGCGACGGGAAACCTCACAGGGGAGCTCCGACGCCCAGCGGAGTACCCACGAGCCGGTGCTGCAGGCTGTGAAAGTGTCAGGGTTTCAGAGGAAGAACTGTGTTCAGCTGGGGGGGAATTTTTGTAGAAGAAATTCCTGCTGGACTAGGATTTTGACATGCAGAGACAAGGAGGCCTGGCATGCCAACCTAGGATGTCAGGAGCAATGTCTCAGAGATGAGCAACAGTATGAATAGGCCGCACCAGGAGTTCCCCCTGGAGAGAGAATGTGAGGAAGAAGTGGGAGGAAGAGGAGGCTGAGGCAAGACCATGGAAGGGCTCAGTCCAGGCGATTCTGACCTGGTTCCCCAAGTGGTAGGAAGGAAGGAGATGGAGGCAGATGGAGGAAAAGATGGGAGGCAGCAAGGCGAGGGAGAGGCTGTTGGAATCTGAACCTTGCTGCATGTGCTTCCTAGACCCAAGGAGACATGCTCATTCAGTCCATCTACAGACGTCCTGCATTATGAAGGTATGTTAGGGTACAGGCTCTCTGCTTCGACTGGAACCCCAAAATACAGTGGCTCAAGTACAGAACTTCAGGGAAGCCTGGGTGGCTTGGTCAGTTAAGCATCCAGTGCTTTTTTTTTTTTTTTTTAAGATTTTACTTATTTATTAGAGCATGAACAGGGGGAGGGACAGATGGAGAGGGAGAAGCAGGCTCCCCGCTGAGCAGGGAGCCCGATGTGGGACTCGATCCCGGGACTCCAGGATCATGACCTGAGTCGAAGGCAGTCGCTTAACCAACTGAGTCACCCAGGAGCCCCAAGTATCCAACTCTTGATTTCAGCTCAGGTCATGATCTCAGTATTGTGAGAGGGAGCTCCGTGTCGGGCTCTGTGCTGGGCGTAGAGCCGGCTCAAAATTCTCTCTTAATTTTCGCTCCCCTAACATTTCGGAGAGAGGCAGCTATTTTCTACAAAGTGGGGCCATAAACTCAAGTTATCTGTCTTGTAGATTTACCTGCACCTCATCCAAATCCCACCCTGCTTCAGAGGCAAAAAGAGTGGGCGGCAACCAACTTCCTTTGATCAGGAAGTCCCTTCCCTTTTTTTTTTTTTTTTTAATTTTATTTATTTGAGGGCGCCTGGGTGGCTCAGTTGGTTAAGCGACTGCCTTCGGCTCAGGGCATGATCCTGGAGTCCCGGGATCAAGTCCCGCATCGGGCTTCCTGCTCAGCGGGGAGTCTGCTTCTCCCTCTGACCCTCTTCCCTCTCATGCTTTCTATCTCTCATTCTCTCTCAAATAAATAAATAAAATCTTTAAAAAAAAGATTTTATTTATTTGAGAGAGAGAGACACACAGTGGGAGAGGGAACACAAGCAGGGGGAATGGGAGAGGGAGAAGCAGGCTTTCCACGGAACAGGGAGCCCAATGCGGGGCTTCATCCCAGGACCCTGGGATCATGACCTGAGCTGAAGGCAGACGCTTAACGACTGAGCCACCCAGGCACCCCTGGGGAAGTCCCTTCCTTGAAGCCCTTGTCCTTTCGGCTCACATCCCATTGGCCAAAAGTTAGTCAAATAGACGTACCTAGCTGCAAAATACAACGGTGGGAAATACCAGCTGGGTAGCCACGTGCCACTGGGCAGTGTTTCCTACTCAAAAGAGGAATACTGTGTGGATGTTGGAGTCAGTCTCTGCCACATAAGCGTTTCCACTGTGTTTGGTAGAAGCTTTGTCCATCTCCAGAGCATAATCTAGACTGGTGCTGCTCGGTAGTCTTGTGAGGGTGAAAATGTTTCTGCTTATGGACTCTTGATCTTGGGGTTGTGAGTTCAAGTCTTATGTTGGGCATGGAGCCTACTTAGAAAAAAAAAAAGTGGCTTTCTGATTCATCCGGTATGGTTACCATGAACCCCATGGAGCACGACACACATGGCAGCTGAGGAAATGAAATTTTACCGTAATGTTAACCATATATGGCCAGTGGTTATCGTTTGTGGACAGCATACATCTGGACCATGGGCTTGGACGGGAACAGGCTGTCTGTGATGCTGTGTTCAAAGTGTCTGTGGCCCAGTAGCATCATCCCTCTTTTCTCATCTGAAAGCCCGAGTGTGTGGTTATCCTTGTTTGGTGAACACAACATGAGTGAGCTCCTTTGTACAAATTAAGCGTGAAGTATCTATCTTTAGTTGTTCCATTAGCTGCCCAAGCCCTGCACTACCAGCACCTCTACCTTTCAGCTGGGACGGTGTCGGAGCGTGAAGGAATTTGAGAAGCTGAACCGTATCGGGGAAGGCACCTATGGCATTGTGTGTGAGTGGCCGAGATGGAAGCCCTCGGGCGTGGGGGACTGTCCCAGCAGTAGCTGTGTCAGGGCTGGAAGGAGGGAAACACCCATGGCTTTATAACCAGGGCAGAAGTTATACAAGTGAACTCTAATCCGTGGTGTAATTACCATCAGTGTAAACATCAGATTGCCAGTGTGGTTACAAGCGGAGGGAGCTGTTACAGCAGAACCTAGAACTTCCAAAAGCAGCCGGGGCTTCAGCGGGTGGCGGCTGTGACATTGGTGTCTATCAGACTGAGAAGGGTTTGGAAGCTTCGCACACTAGTGCCTTGAAGAGCCTCCTTTGCACAAAATGAGGGGTTTTTTTTCTAGATAAAGTATCTTATTTGCTGCTAGAACGTAGTAAACAGAAGGCAAAGCGGTGACCTGCATCCTGACTCTAAGGTGGAAAACTTAGAGGGAGCTTGGTGCAACTAGCACCCCGTACCCAGCTCAGTCGAGAGGGTTCCCCAGAGAGCGTGTGTCTAGTGGGGCTGGGGGTGCTGCTGGCACAGCTGGGACCCAGTGTCACTGGGCATCCAGTTATCAAGAAGAGAAGGGGACCCCCAGAGTTCAGAACGAGGCCCCTGTATGGCACAAGGGTATGTGATGCAGGATTAAGTCAGACTCCATCACGGATGAGTCTTCATTCCAGACCGGGCCCGGGACACGCAGACGGACGAGGTTGTTGCCCTGAAGAAGGTGCGGATGGACAAGGAGAAGGATGGTGAGCTCACGTGGGAGGGGCAGAAAGGGGCCAGTGCTCTGAGGCTTCCTCCGGCTCGAAGCCCTGGTGCTGAGAGCATCTTCATGAGGGTTACAGCGGACCTGTCTCTGGGAGGCTGCCTGTCCTGTCCTTCCCCAGCCCCTCGCCCTCACGCCTCTCCTCTAGGCCTTAGTTCCCCTGAACCCCATGCCGTTCACCTTCTTCCTCTGTCCAGTACTGCCCTATCTTCTGTCTCAGCCCGGCCGTCACCCTCCACCCAGCCCTCCCTGCCTAACACCAGGCTGGCAGCCCCTGTGCTCCACACACCCCTGATTTCTACCCCCCAGCCCCTCCCTGGCTGCCTGTGCAGGCAGGGCCTTGCTGTGCTCACTGTGGACCCACTGTCCTATACAGTGGTCCATACAGAGAGTTGCTGCCTTGCATCATTGAATGAAGGAAGAGTTAAAGGTGCATGTTCAGGGGGCACCTGACAGGTGGCTCAGTCAGTTAAGCATCTGCCTTTGGCTCATGTCATAATCCCAGCGTCCTGGGATCGAGCCCAGCATCGGGCTCTGTGCTCAACAGAGAGTCTGCTTCTCTGTCTCCCTCTGCCTGCCTGTCTGCCTACTTGTGATCTCTCTCCCTCCCTCTCTCTCTCTCTGTCAAATAAATAAATAAAATCTTTAAAAAAAAAAAAAAAGGTGCATGTTTAGGTGGCCTTGATTCTCCCTGAGGTTGTGGGCAGAGTCCTGCAGGGGTAGGGGTGGGGCTCACTGAGGAAGCTGTCTGGCTGCAGGGGTCCCCATCAGCAGCCTTCGAGAGATCACACTGCTCCTTCGCCTTCGCCACCCGAATATCGTGGAGCTAAAGGAAGTGGTGGTGGGGAACCACCTGGAGAGGTATGCAGTCTGCTGGTCCTCTGCACTGGGCCCTGCTGAGCCTGCCTTTCCTATCCCCCTCCCTGTGCTCCCCCCAAATTGAGTTCATCCCTCCTGCAACCCCAGGAGAATCCTTTGGCCTACCTGGGAGGACGTGGGAGGTGCCCTGTGTCTTCCCCTTTTCCTTCCAGCATCTTTCTGGTGATGGGTTATTGTGAGCAAGATCTGGCCAGCCTTCTGGAGAACATGCCGACACCCTTCTCTGAGGCCCAGGTGTGAGGCTGGGGGGCCTGGAGTGAGGCACCGTCCCAGGTCCTTGTGTGGCACATTTAACTGATGCATCCTGCCCTTTGCATAGGTCAAGTGCATTGTGCTGCAAGTGCTCCGAGGCCTTCAGTATTTGCACCAGAACTTCATCATCCACAGGTAGGAGGGGCCCCAAGTGGGGAGGTGGGGATGGCATGATCCTGGAGGACATTTGTCTGGAGTGCAGGTTCGTGACACATGGGAAGGGTGACTGCCAGTCCTAACCCCTAGAGAGGAAATGACCTGGCCTCCATGCAGTTCTCTAACTGTTCCTTGGGGCAGGATCCAGGCCCCACAGCACCTGCTTTCCCCCCAGGGGAGCTGACAAGGCTATGAGAAGTCCTGCAGTCTCATCACAGACACAAGGAAAGTGGGGGGCCTTCCAGGCTCAGGGCAGGACTGTGCAAGCAGCGGCTTCTCGTGTCTTGGGGCAGCTGGTGCAGCCCTGGGTGGGGAATGGGCACAAAACTGGGTGTTAGGCCTGAGAAATGTACTGAGAACTGGTACACTCAGCTGCCTACCCTTTGCTGTGTTTAAAAAGTTCCAACAAGGGGCACCTGGGTGGCTCAGTGGTTAAGTGTCCGCCGCCTTTGGCTCAGGTCATGATCCCAGGGTCCTGGGATCGAGCCCCGCATCAGGCTCCCTGCTCCGAGGGAAGCCTGCTTCTCCCTCTCCCACTCCCCCTGCTTGTGTTCCCTCTCTCACTGTGTCTCTCTCTGTCAAATAAATAAATAAAATCTTAAAAAAAAAAAAGTTCCAACAGGGGATGTGTAGGAAAGCGTTCTGAGTCTGCCTGTGATGGTGACAACCTAGTTGCCCCGTGGGGCTCACATCCTAGGAATCACCGATGTTCCCTTTCTGTCCCAGGGACCTGAAGGTGTCCAACTTGCTCATGACCGATAAGGGCTGTGTGAAGACAGGTGGGTGCTGGGTGCCGGCGCTTGGCAGGTGTCTCTGAGTGCCCCTGGGGCGGGGGAGCAGGTCAGTGCCTGCCAGCTCCCTGGGGGCTAAGAGCTGGTTCGCACACGGCAGCTTCTTAGCCCCTGCCGGGTGACACACTGCCTTTCTGCCTTTGTCACAGCGGATTTCGGCCTGGCCCGGGCCTATGGCATCCCAGTGAAACCCATGACCCCCAAGGTGGTCACACTGTGGTGAGTTGCTCAGGATGAGTGTGCCTGGTGGAGGAAGTGTGGGGGTTGATCATGCTGAAGCAGCAGAAGGATCCTGAGGGTCTTGAAGCTACAGAGGGCCACACACACTCCTAGAGGGTGGGTCTAGGACAGCTTCCTGAGACAGCGGGGCTGTCGGGGGGACGGAGGACAGCACGGCGGGGGTGGGGGGGACTGCCCTGCTTGGTTCTGAGCCCTCTCAGGAAGGGGAGGTCGCTTCACAGACTTCTGTCTGTGGGGTGGGGCAGGTTTATTTAGCTTTCTGTAGTTTTTCTCACACATGTTTTTAAGAAGAAGCAGAGCAGGGCTGTGGTTAATGATATGAAATCGTAGGTCTTCTGCCATGCGTCAACCAGCCGTGTCTGTAGACTGGGCTGACGGCAGACTCCTAGGAGCCGCCCCGCAAAGTTGGTGTTACTATGTGCGTCACCCACGATTGTGGGCTGGGAGGACAAGGTGGTCTGAGTTGGGGTTGGCAGTCTGGAGCCTGGGCTGCCTCAGGCTATCAGGAAGGCTGGTGGAGGCCCAGGCTTCACTGCAGGGTACGAGGGGGAGTACCTGTGTTCGTAGGTACCGAGCCCCCGAACTGCTTTTGGGAACCACCACGCAGACCACCAGCATCGACATGTGGTGAGAAATGAATGCGGCTCCTGGGGCCTGGGGGAAGGGCTGGGGTGGGTCCCATGGGGGCTCGCAGGGGCAGGAGCAGGGCTGGGGTCTTTGTCAGCCTCCCAGCCCCCAGGGGGAGGGGGAGGGGGAGGGCCGAAGCCTGGGATCCCTAAGAGGAAGCATGAGAACGTAGCTTCCACAGAAGAAAGGCCCTGCCCTCGTGGTCACCCAGAGAGGCCATCTGGGACGGGGTCACGTCCCATCTGGATCTCCTCCCAAGCTCCACCCTGTCCTGACCCCAGCACTTAGCCTCAGCGGAGGTGTGTGGCAGCAGGGGGCAGGTGCGTGAGGTAAGGCCTGCTGTCTTCTGCAGGGCCATGGGCTGCATCCTGGCCGAGCTGCTGGCCCACAAGCCCCTTCTCCCCGGCACATCCGAGATCCACCAGGTGGACCTGATTGTGCAGCTGCTGGGGACGCCCAGTGAGAACATCTGGCCAGTGAGTGCCCGGCCTCTGCCCTCATCCGCCCCCCTCTGCCCCCTGCCCGGGCCAGCCCCCATGCTCAACTCCTGCTCCCTGCAGGGCTTCTCCAGGCTGCCTCTGGTGGGTCAGTACAGCCTGAGGAAGCAGCCCTACAACAACCTCAAACACAAGTTTCCGTGGCTCTCGGAGGCTGGCCTGCGCCTGCTGAACTTCCTCTTCATGTATGACCCCAAGAAAAGGTGCTGACCTGGCCTCAAACCCGAGCCCTCGAAAGGGGGTTTCCAGAACTCTGGCCATGCTGCCGCAGAGATGCCCCCCTCCCCAGACAGATGCGGAGTCCCAGGCTCCCAATGTGGGTGGTCCCTGCCCACCCAGGTCATGGAGCCCACTCTGAGTTTCCCATCTGTTTTTGGGCCCCAGACCCCTGCTGGCCATTCGCCTTTTGCTGTCAGGAAATTTGAACCAGAGGCTGTGGAGCTGGGTGGGCGTGCGGGAAAGCAGCCTCCATCCTGTTAACACGGAGGCCTTCTGTCCAGGGCAACGGCCAGAGATGGCCTGGAGAGCTCATACTTCAAGGAGAAGCCCCTGCGTGAGTCTCCCACCGAGCCCCGCAGGGTGCTTGTCTTGTGGCCTTTTCTGTCCAGGGTGGGGGTGTCGTGGCACGGCCTCCCACAGCTCCTCGAGCCCCTGGGGGTGGTGGGGTGGGCTCCTGGCACAGGCCTTTCCGGGTGGAGCAGGGCCTGCATGCTGAAGCCCACGTGGGTGCTCGTTGGCCATACAGACTGTTGTCTGAGGGGGGCAGAGGAAAGACGGGACCCCAGGGCCCGACATGGATGCACAGTGGGGTTCTCAGACCCAAACGTACTCCTCCCCGCAGCCTGTGAGCCAGAGCTCATGCCCACCTTCCCCCACCACCGCAACAAGCGGGCCATCCCGGCCACGTCTGAGGGCCAGGGCAAGCGCTGTAAACCTTGACAGCCCCCCGCCGGGCTGGCACGTCTACGATGGACAGCAATGGAATGGGGAGGACTCTGCAGTTGAGGCTCACGGTGCTGCTGGGACCCAGCTCCTCCTTCCGCGGAGACCGACCCGCTGCTCTGGCTGATCACACCCCTTCCCCAGAAGAGCAGAGAGTGGACGTGGGGATGATGCAGGGTGGGTGCACCCTGAAGGGGCAGGACCTCATTCGGGACACGTTGCCACACCCTCAGCTGGTAAAAGCTCGGGATCCTCCCTTCCATGGAGGAAACGCCTGCTGGGCCCAATTCAGGGGGTGTTGCTGGTTTGGGATGCGTAGACCCCACATGGTTGCTTGTGCCCCCTCCTGATCACCAGGGTCTGTCCAGGGCAGGGAGAGGCTGTGGTGTGTGCCCCCCCCCCAACTGGCAGGGCTGACACACTCAGAATGGGAAGGAGAGGTCGGCTGTGGTCACATCCCACCTGATGGACTGTCGTCCTGCCCCACACTGAGGCCCAGAGGGGAAGGGGCATGAGTCAGAGAGATAAAAGGTTTTCTAACAGCTATGAGCAGGTTCAATGTCCTTTAATGAACTTTAATATTCTGATTCATGGGACATGATGGTGGTTCTCTGAGTGCTGGGGAGGATGAGAGGTGGGCTGGACACGGGGGCGGAGCGCCCAGTGAGGAGGGGCTAGCGCAGAAGACAGGCGCCTGTCCCCTCTAATCCTGTGGCTGAATACTTCCCAGGGGAGGGGGCTCTGCCTGCCTTGGCCTTGAGAGTCTGCCTTAGCGGGCGGCTGCTCAAGAGCTCACCCACACCCTTACCACTGGACCCAGGGAGCATTCTCAGGAGGGAAGCCTGCACGGCCTCCCGCCCTGCCTTCCAGAGCCGATGCAGCAGAAAGCCAATAGCAGGGTGGCTCGTGGGGTGCTGACTGCTCAGAAGCCCCACACTCCACCCACGAGGGGAGTGACACAGCCTATCCAGGCCCCACTAGCTGCCTGTGTCCTTCCCCCTGCCGCCTATGCTCTGGGCGTCTGGGGAGCCTCCTCACTCTGCTCTGAGATCAGGCCCTTTCTTCTCCACCTGGGGACCACACTTCCCGGCCCAGCTGGTCTCGAGCTGGCCCTCAGCTCATTCAGCGCTGGCTTATGACTCCTCTAGGCAAGGGGCTAGGTCAGCCATGTACCTGGCAGAGCCCCCAGACTAGTCACGGTGCTGCTCAGTGGCCCCCAGGGACACCCCTATGAAGAGACTCTCCCCTGGACACTTGGAGGGAAGCAGTGTTCTGAAGGACAACTGTAGGGCTCAGGTCCACAGGCTGAGTGGTGGGCCCTACAGTGGGATGGGGCGAGGAGCAAAAGCGAAGGGAGAGGACCCTTCGTTGGGCATAGGCTTGGTGGTGAGACTCCTCCACCCAGCACGTTTGGACGTGGGCCTGGATGCTGGGTGCAGGGGGGAGGGAGGCAGCCAGGCCAACGCAGGAGCCTCCCATGGAAGGAAGGACCCCACCTCCTGCCTTGTGAAGCCCGATGCCCCACCTCGCTGTGCCCAGGAGTCCCCCGGGCACAGGGTGGCTGGGGGCTTAGGCCCGAGGAGTGCTGAGGCCCAGAGAAGCACCACAGAAACGGCCTCGGGAAGGCCCTGACGCAGGGCCTGGCTGGGCCTAAGGCTGGGCCCCGGGTCCGTCATAGAGCAGGGTATCCAGCTGTGCACGCTGCAGCCACAGGCGCCGCTGGCCCTCGCTGAGCAGCGGGCGAAGCGCGTGGCCAGCTCGGCAGGTGGGCAGGGCGGCACAGTGGGGCGCGTGCAGCTGGTGACAGGTATCACAGCAGAGGGCGGGCAAGGCCCCAGGAGCTAGGCAGCTGTGTGCCTGGTAGCCGGGGGGCTGGGGGCCGGCCTGCCCAGGGCTCCCTGGGGCTCTGGGGGCAGCCCCGTCTCCAGGCTGACTCAGCAGCTCTCTCCGCAGGGTCAGGAAGGAGAAGGCCGCGGGCTCACGCTCCTGCTCCTCCTCCAGGGCCCCATAGGGTGGGCTGCTGGCCTGGGGCAGCACCTCAGCCTCCTCTAGGGGCTCCCAGGCCGCGCCCCTGGCCCCCCACAGTTTGGCGCTCTGTTCCCAGAGCAGCGGTCGGCAGGCCAGCTCTGGGGGTGGGGAGTCGGGGCCTGGTGAGGGCCCACCGTACAGGCTGGCCTCCTCTGAGCCCTCGTCCTCCTGCAGATCCCGGTAGAGGTCCAGCGGGGTCTGGTAGACCGTCGGGGAGCCCCGGGGGGGCAGAGGCGGCGGCTCCTCTTCCCGGGCCAGCCGCTGCTGCAGCCAGGCCACGCAGGAGGCCACGTCTGCGCTGGCCCGCCGAGCCTGCAGCAGCTCCTCGGCTGGCAGCACGCTGGTGCCCAGCTGCGCCAGCACCTCGCCCAGGATCTCACACTCCAGCCGGAGAGCGAAGCAGCCCAGGGCCACTTGCACCAGTTGGCAGGCGGGTGGTGGGGCAGCCATCATGAGGCGGTGGTTGTCCCTGGGCACGTAACCCATCTTCTGGAAGCTCTGGAGGAGGAGGTCCTCCGAGAGGGCGCCCTTCAGCACGTGCACATAGCCCCCTGAAAAGGTCTGCAGAGGAGGATCCTGGTCAGCAGCAGCCTGACCCACGCTCGAGCTCCTCTGGGCCCTGGCCTCCCCCCAGAACCAGGCCGTGCTGGCACTCCCTTCAGAGGGGCTGCTCAGCCCCACGCTCCGACCCACCCCGGCACACCCATCTCCATGGCTGGGGCAGAACAAAATAACGAGCCCCTACGTCAGGAAATCGCACTTTGTGGCAGCGGGGTGGCACAGTCAGTTGAGCTCAGGTCCCCGATGGAGTCCCACGTCGGGCTCCCTGCTCGGTGGGGAGTCTGCTTCTGTCTCCCCTCCCCACCCCCCGCCTGCTCTCTCGCTCACTCTCTCTCAAATAAAATCTTAAAAAAAAAAGAATCTCACTTCCCTTGGGGTCTCCACCTCCTGTCCCCCCTGGGGCTTTGCTGAGATTTGGTCAGCAAACACAAACAAGGGTGCTTATCTGCTCTCCTGACAGGCTGTTCTGAACTCCACCTTCCCACGTCCTGTTCTGGAGAGCCTTCCCCATTGGGACAGAGGCTTAGCCATTCATTTTTTCCAACTGTGTAGCGTTCCACCACATAGATGAAACATCTGTATTTTTCAGAGGCTCTAATGTGCATCCGGACTGAGAGCCCGGGAGTGCTAGATGGGAAAGTGTTTTCTAGGCTGCAGTCCTGTGCGGAACTGGAAGAGCTTCAGAATGATGGTGCTGTGTCTCTCCCAGTTGTAAAATCTCAGAGCTCTGGGATCCTGTCAGCATCCCTCCCACAGACGGAGCGCTGCCGTGGGCAGGCACTGTGTTCAGGGTTTTGGCTTCACCCCTCACAACAGACCTTGGACTGCACTATTCTTGGGTCTGTTCCACCGATGAGGACATGGATTCAGAGAGATTAGGTAACTTGCACAAAGCCACACAGCCCAAGAGGAAGCAGAACCAGATCCCAACCAGGTCTGCCCAACACTGAAGCCCAGAAGCACCTCAAGGGCAGGTCTGTCTGCTCGGTTCTTGGCTTCCCATGGGGCTGGCGCTTGAGGGTGCCTCCCGCCCTGTTCTCTGAATTAAAATGGCTTAGAACCTCTGACCAGCAGGTGTCCCCATGAAGCAATAGGCTCCAGAGCTCACCTCTTGAGAGAGAAGGGGGAGTGGAGGAGAGGAGGGTGGGGTGAGAGGGAGAGCGGAAGGGGGGGGGAGAGGGAGGGGGAGAGAGAGAGAGAGAGAGAGAGAGGCTGCTGCTGTCATGGCAACCAGTGGAGGTGGACTCGCCCACGTGCCCAATGACATCAGCACCTTCCTACTCTTCCAAATTAGCTTTGAGGGCCAAGTATGCCTGCCCCCTCCTGCAGGCCAGCAGCTCACCCACAGGGGCGATCAGTGCAGACCCCAGAGTATGCAGGGCCTCTAGCCCCTACCCATTTCACAGGGGATACACCCACCCAACCTCCTATAAATGGGATCATGGAAGGATTAGGATGACCATGGAACCTCAAGTCCCTCCCATGCACCTGTCCTAGGATTTCTGTGCTACCAGGGCTGTGAGGCCACTTTGGGGGAGGGCAGTGATTCAAACTTTGAGGAGCAAGGATCTCCCCAGGAGGCAGGCACCCAGGGTGGGTGGCCTCCGCCCACACCATGTTTTCAGCCCTGGGAGTGTGTGTGGCGGGGGGCGGGGGACACCTTGGCCAAGAGCTGCCCCAAAGCGCCCCAAATCCCCTCTGAGCCCTGGAGGGCCACCCGGCTCTGAAGACACATGAAATCCCTTGTTCAATGGTACCCTCTGCCCCAGGGTACACAGCAGCCTGAGCGGGGGCACCCCCTCGGCCCAGCGCCCTACCTTGATGGTGGAGAACTCCTTCCTCCAGGGCAGCAGGTACAGGTGCACAGCCGCCAGCTCCAGCAACTCGAAGGCGCGGGCCAGGCCGCGCAGCGCGGGGGCCAGGTCGGCGCGGCCCCACAGGCCGTCGGTGAGCAGCGCCAGCGCGTCGTCCTGCAGCGCCCCGTGCAGGTCGAAGTCTTCCACCAGGATCTGCCACAGCACCGCGCGCAGCGATGGGTCCCCACACACGCCCGCGCGGCCACGCCGCAGCTCACGCTCCAGGCACAGGCGGTAGTCCTCGGACAGCGAGCTGCTGCCCATTCTGGCGGGCGGGGGTACGGTGTCAGGAACCAGAGACCCCTCCCCGCCGGCTGTGCGGCCCCCCGAGCCCCCACCCAGCGTCCTCAGATCCCCCTCCGGCCTGGTGACCCTGTCCCCGCCGGCTGTGCGCCCCCCCCCCGAGCCTCCCCCAGTGTCCACATGTCCCCCTACAGCCCGGCGACCTCGCCAGCTGAGCGGCCCCCAGTATCTACAGCATCCCGCTTCCCTGGAGACCCGCCCCGCCAGCTGTGTCCCCCCCGAAGACAGACCCCCACCTCGCCCACCAGATCGTGCTGTGGGCCCCGCAAGGGACCGCTCTACCTGTCGGTCCCCAGCGGAGCCCAATTGGCCACCTCTCCGCTCGGACCCGTCCCGCAGCCGCGCTCTTCCGCCGCCAGCGGCTCTGCCCACTGGCCTCGGCCGTGACGCTCGGGGCGGGGCCTGCGCCGGGCACCGCCCCCTCGGCTCACCCGGGTGGGGCTGGGCTGGGGGCGGGGCGTTGTGCCTCCGGGCTGAGCACCTGCCCCCGATCTTCTGCCTAGCCGCGACACCCCGGCGGCTCGCGGCGGATCCTGGGCGGGCGCATGAGGAACGGTGCGTGCGAGCAGCCCCCTCCTCTGAGCTAGGCCCGGCAGCGCCCGCCGCGGCGGAAGCGGGTGCTCCTACTGCGCCCCGACCTGGGCCCAGAGCTCACCGTGAGCCCAGGGAGGTGCGTTTCTGCGTGGTTGAAACAGCAGCCTCAGGTGGGTGGGGCGGCCTCAGGCTTTACTGGGGGCTCAGCTTCCTGGTCCCTGAGAGCAGCATCTGGGGGTCCCGGAGGCGGGGTGAAGGCCCCTCCCTAAGCCAGCCTCGTTTCCGGGCGCCTGACCCGTGCGCTAAAGCCACTTGGGCAGAGGAGGGATGGGAGAGATTTAGCCCTTGGGCCCCAGCTCAATGCAAGGAAGGTCTTCTGTAGACCTTCCTCCCTGAGCAGGCTCTGCCCCTTGATTTCTGGGCCCCTCACCTCTCCAGACCACTTTGTTGAGATGGGACCTGCCTGGGGAAAGATTTTTCTCTTAATAAGAGCCTTCACCTGGCAGTACCCTGCAGGTGCGTCTTCACATACTTCAAATGGGACTTTTAGAAAAATACTGGAACCAAGCTGGGGATCTCCTTGAGACATTTTGCTGGCCACCACTCAACATAGAGGCGATTCACTTACAGGTTCTGAACCCAGCCCTAGGGCCACACCAGCCGTGAGGGGACAGTTAACTTCTGGTCTTCTCCGGCTTGTGTGCGGAAGGGTGGAGCTTAACCACTCCCTTCAGTTCACCACTGAATTCATCGTGGTCTTCAGATGCGAGGCCTCTGAATTGCATCTGTCCACGGCCATAATAACCCCAACCCCAAGACGGCTGTTGCGGTGTGGTGAATCCGCAGTCTCGCTGCAGAGCCTGCCAGAGCCTGCACGACTGCGTCTTCCACTCGAAGTAGATGGGGTCCTGTTGCTGTGTGTGACTCCAGGCAATTGCTCTCAACCGTTGCTTGCTACTCTACGGCACGTGTGGCTCTTCTCAGTATGACACTTGAAACTAGGTGGGTCTTTGCACCTGCTTGCACCCATAGAATGGAGGTGACATTGTTTGGCTTCCCAGGTTAAGTCATTAAAACACCTTGTTGTCTTGAGTTGTTTGCTCTTGGAGTCTAGCCATCATGTTGTGGGGGAGCCGGCGGCCACATGGAGAGACCTTGCACTGAGCTGAATAATGTCCCCCCAGGTCCATGTCCACCTAGAACCTGGGAATGTGAGCTTATTTGGAAACACGTTCTTTGCAGATATAATCAAGTTAGGATGAAATCATGCTGAATTAGGATGGGCCCTAAATCCAATACGACTGATGTTATAAGGAGAGAGAAGTTTAGGCACAACATGTATGGGAGAAGGCCTATGGTGATGGAGGCAGAGATTGGGGCTCTGCTTACAGCTACTAGCCAAGGATTGTAGGAGCAGGAAGCTGGAGGCAAGCAAGGATTCTGCTCTAGTACTTTGAGGGAGTATGGTCCCATCAGCATCCTGAATTCAGATTCTAGCCTGCAGAACTTTAGTACATTTCTAGTTTTTTACTTGACTCAGTTTGTGGTATTGTTTATGGTGGCCAGAGAAGCTAACGCAGGCCTCACATGGTTCTGTCTGAGAATGTGGTTGTGAGTCCTGACTGAGGTCCTAGCTGACAAGCATCCACCGCAGACGCATGGACAAACCTCTAGGTGATTCCAATCCCTGAAACTGGGTCACCCAACCTGGAAGCTGACCTAGCTGATGCTGGGGGTGCAGAGATGGGCCGTCCCCAAGGAACCCTGCCCAAAGGGAAGATTCATGAGCAAAGTAAATGACTACTGTTGTATTTAAGCCGGTGAGGTGGGGTGGTTGGTTACACAGCAATCGATGTGGGACCATGTGCATTTACCACATTCCGCCTCAACCCTCCTGGGGATGGATACCACATTGCCTGACTCCATCTGTGTACATGTCCTCTTATGACCTGGTCGTAAGGTCGGAGGGTTATTTGGCATTTGCGTTGGCCCAGGACTGCAGCTAGTTCTTGAATCTGCTGCAACTGCCCCCCCCCGCCCCCCGCGTATGGTTTCCAGCTTCTGCACACCACCATGCTCAGCTTTGCCTAGCTTTTGGATTTTACCAGTATAGTGCACATGAAATTCTACCTTGTTACTGTGTTAATTCGCATTTCTTGGTTTTTAAAGTTTTGAACACTTCTTGTGCTAATTAGTTTTTTAAAACTTTCTCCTCTGGCGGCGCCTGGCTGGTGCCATTGGTTAAGTGTCTGACTCTTGATTTCGGCTCAGATCATGGTCTCAGGTTTGTGAGATTGAGCCCTGTGTTGGGCTCCCTGCTCTGCTTGAGATTCTCCCTCTCTCTCTGCCCCCTCCCTGCTCGTGCATGCTCTCTCTCTAATAAATAAATACATCTACAAACAGAAAAACCTTCCTCCTCTGTAGACAATCTGTTTATAGCCTTTGCTATTTTTCTATTTGGGACTGCGGCCTTTTTCTTGTTGATTTGCAGGATTTCCAGTGGGAAGAGTGGATTATTCATCCATTTTATGGAGGAACCATGGACTCAGAGTCATGGGCTCAGCCTGTCTGACTGCAGTGCCTAGAACAGGGTGCCAAGGAGACAGCCCGTATGGGGCCCATCCCCAGAGGTGTGGTCCCCAGCGCCAAGCCAGCAGGTACTTCCACTATCAGGCTTCGCTGAAGACACACCTTCATCCTCCATCTGCTCTATGCAGCGGCCTTTAAAATCCTGTCCTTGAGACGTCAATGCCAAGGACTGAACCATGGATGTTACCTCTTCTTCCCAAGGCTCCATGGTGGCTGGTGTTCTCATCCAGGTCTGGGTGACTCAGAACTCTACACTTACAAGAGCATAAGCAGAATGTCAGGGGGGCCAAGGGTGGGGAGACAAAGGCAAGGTGTTGGGCAGGTGCTGGCTTGTCTGCTCTGGGGGCACTGACAGGCAGAGGACCACAGGCCACAAAAGCTCCAGAGACAACAGCTGTCCCAGGGGTTCGGGTTGGCCTGCCCCAGCCCACTGGGCTCAGCACCCAACTGTAGGGTCTTGACTGCAGGTGCCCGTTGGCCTCTTGAGTTGGCTTGCTGAGCTCAAACCCAGTTCTGCCATCATGAGATGTAGCCTAGAGAAGGTGCTTCCCCTGCTCCCGCCTCAGTTCCTCATGGAACTCCTGGGAAGACAGACCTGCAGAGCACCCAGTAAACACCAACTGCTGTTGCTGTTTCCTCAGAGCCTTTCCCCGGGGAACCTGCAACACTGCTCCCTTAACTGGCCCCTGGGATGGCGGGGCCCAAACCAGCTGCCTCGGTGGTAACTCAGGTTTGGCAGGGGTCCCTCCTTCCCTGGCAGATGCTGCCTGCTTTCTCCTCTTCAGGTGCAACACAGATCACAGCTCAGGGCACCCATGTGTGTTTCCCACCTGGAGAATGAAGGTGCTTCCCGAGAGCCCTTCAGGCCAAGAGGTCCAGTCCCAGGTCCTGCCCAACCCACTCGGCCCTGCAGAGCACGTCCTGTCCCAGGGGGTCTGGACGGTGGTCTCTGGGACAGTCTGGCTCTTACTGGTCAGCAGGGCAGGGGGTTGTGCTACTCAGGCCTCCACGCGGCCAGTGGAATGGCGAGCACGCGAGCTGTGCAGCACGAGAGATCGGTGACCTCTTTATTTTTGGCTGTGTCAGTGGCTGCCTGGGGCGTGTAACAGAGTGGGCGCTGGGCTGCAGGCAGGCACTGACCCTTGGGTTCACGCTGACCCAGAAGGGGACATGCGGGGATGGGAATTGGCCAGGGGTCCAATGCCTACCGTGCCAAGGGCCGGAGTGGCTCAGAGGCCCCAGACACGGGTGGGTGCCTGGGCTCCAGAGGAGAATGGAATGATCAATGCCCAATAAGTGAACAGCACAGTTTCAAACCACCTGGGCCCCAGCCCTTGGGTGGGAGGCAGGGGAAGGGGCCAGGCCCTCTTCTTGACTCTAACAAGTGACTGGTGCTGGAAGCTGACTGTCACAGGGATGGGAAGGGAGAGAAACCAGACCTGCCCTCTGCCAGGCCCAAGGCGCCCTCCCTACTGCTGAGTTGCTGGGGCTGTGAGGACATGTGTACAGGCCCCAAGGGGAGTCCACAGCTCTGGTGTTCGTGCACAAAGCCTCTCAGGCTGAGACAAGAAAGAGATGGGCCTACTTCCTAGGAGCTGGTGCCTCTGAGGAACAGCAGTGTCTCCTCAAGTCCCTGGGGGCAGATGTCAGGTTAGGGCAAGTGTGAGAGCTGCAGAGCCCCACCACAGCTGGCCTAGTGCGCCCCCCACCCCCAGCAGGTGACTCCTGGATGGTCCTCAGCAGGTCCTGTCCTCCTCTACTTGCCCAGGGCCCCCCGGGGCAGTAGCTCCACGTAGTTCAGGGCACTCTGTAGTGACGTCAGGCAGTAACCCTCCTCTCCAATCAGGTACCTGTGAAGAGGTGGGCCCAGGCAGCACCTGTCACCTCCAGGGGATGCAAGGAGGCCCCCCAGCACTTTGGAAGGGGTGTCTGCCCTCATGGGGCAGGACCTGGATGCTGAGGTCCCACAGGGGTCTGTCAGGGAGGCTGGGCTAGAGGATAGCCCACTCCCCAGGCAGATGCTACTCAAGGGATGCTCCCCAACCCAGGTCCTGTCCAAGCAGTATGCTGAGAAAGGGGAAGTGGGAAGGGACTGGGGAGAGGGGACCACGGGCCATGTGCGCAGGTGGACCCCCGACCTGGGAGCACATGCTCAGTGCACCATGCTGGCCTGACTCCAGCCGGGGGCTCCTACCCCTCATGGATGAACTCCTCCAGGGCTGCACACTCTGACACCAACTGGGGGAGACCGCTTCTCAGCACCACAAAGGACAAGATGGGCAGCAGGTCGTCGGCACCGCTGTTGGGTAGAGGCACGGGCTGGCCGGTAGGCTCTGGGGGCCAGTATGGCTGCTCAATCCCCCAAACCCTGCAGCCCCCAGCTCAGCCTGTGGAGTGGTCCGGGGCTGACCAGCTGCTCTCCCTGTGCGCCTCCTGCCCGCCTGTGTGGGGGAGTTGGGAGTGGACGCAGGGCAGTCCCTACAGGCAGCAAGGCCATCCCTGAATGGGAACCCTGTGCTGCGGAGCCCATGGCTGGATGAGGGGATGCCCCCACAGTGCCTGCCCACACCTGGGGAGCAGGATAATGGAGGGGATGGCCCACCTCCCAGGCAGCCTGCTGACACCCGGGACCGGAGCCAGGCACCTGAGATCCCCCACAAGAGGCATCTAGGGGAGCTAAAAAGGTGCCAAGGGAGGCCCTGCATGGCACGCAGAACCCTGGCCCATGGGGCCCACAGGTTGGTGGTCTCTGGGAAAGGCATCGAGCAAAGACTATGGCTTGAGTATGACCACCAACCATCTGTCTCTTTCTCCTTGGGTGGAGCTCTTACCTGCTGATCTCATGCTCAACTCTGGCTTCTACCTGCCCATTACCTCCAGGCCCTTGGGTGTAGTAGGTGCTAAAACCCACCCACCAGGTTCAAATGACAGGTGCCTTCATTATAACACTGGTCCCTGGGGCAGGGTGGCAACAGACAGAGCCCCTACAGGTGCTGAGGAGCTGCGAGACCCAAATGGGGGCCAGGGCAAGAGGCTGCTGGCCCCAGGAGGATTCAGATAAGACACAGAACCAGGCATCGGAGATCCAGGTAGAGAAGACCCCTGCCTCACCTCAGAAAAGTGGGGGCAGGGATGATGCAGGAACCCCAGGTCTGGGGGCTTAGCACAGGGAGCAAGCTCTTCACTGAGGCTGAGGCTTTTCCCCCAAAGTGTGCAACTGAGGGACCAAGCACGTGCTTCTGGGACAAGCAACCCTAAATTTCACCAGATTAGCCAGGTGTTCCCTAACTCCTAAGAAGCCCTGCCCAGAGGGGCGGGAATGCATCGTTCATGGGGGCTGGAGCCTGAGCCCTTGGTGGACATGGGTACTCTGCTGGACGATGAACCCTGCAAAGCTCACTGTATCAGCGGGATTCGGGGCCCAGGGGCCCAGAATCCAGGCAGAAACCTGCAGTCCCGCTGCTTGGGGCAGGACAGGAGGGTTCTCTCTCCCCCAGGCCTCTACAGGCAGTCCCCCACATGCTCAGTGCCCACCCCAGTCTGTGCTTTTGGGACTCACATGGCTGCGGCACCCACTGGGGGTTTGGCCTCAGGGGCAGCCTCCTGGGCCTGGTAGTAATCCTCGGCACAGGCACAGATGACCCGCAGGACCCGCACTGTGGCACAGAAGTGAGGCTTCAAGAGAGGGCTGAGCGGAGCCGATCCCAGGACAGCCCAGAGGCCACAGCAACTCTCAGGCACCCACCCTGAGAAGCTCCCTCCTGATCGTGCCCTCACACCGCTTATGGCCTGTGAGACACACCCCCACTTGACGGGAGGAGGGTCTGCAGCTCAGGGCAAACAGACTCCAGGTCACCTGTGGGATGGAACCTTATCTGCGCATGTTCCCCCTTCTGTCCTCCCAAACTGCAACCCCTCACCAATGCACTCCAGCTTCTTCTGGGGGCAGCTCTCCAGGACCAGCAAGCCCAGCTCTTGGGCTGCAGCACAGTAGGGGTAGGCACCAGCTCCTGCGGCCTCCGGGTCCCGGGGGAGGAGCTTCCTGGGAATGCCTATGGCGGCTGGGGGTGCATTCCTGTAGAGCTCCATGCTTCTGCTCAGGGCGGCCTCCCGGAGGCGGTGCACACTCCTGGGGCAGACAGAGGCCAGGTTCAGCTGCCCGGGGACCCTGCCCCAGGGATGGAGGCAGGACTAGGGAAAGTTAGCTATACCCCAAGTCACAGGGGCGTGGGTGAGGCATCTGAGGATGGCCTGACAGTGAAGCACCAGCTGGAAGGGTGCCCCGGGGGCCATCCGTGGGGGACTCGAGCTGGGCACGTACCTATAGAGTACCAGCAGCAGGGGCCATAGCGGAGAGAAGAAGGGCTCCTCGATGCAGGCCAGACATCGGTCCTTGGAGGCGGCCACGTTCAGGCCTTCGAAAGCCAGGAGGGTGAGCGAGAGCAGCCTGTCTGCCGGGAGCAGAGCCGGCACAATGGCGCTGTGGGGACGGCTGGGCCCTGCAGCCCCAGGCTGGCAGCCCCTGGAGGTCATCCCCAGCCAGCCTGGGGTGCCCAAGTGGGCCCCATAGCCGCCCCCTCCTCTCCCACCCTCCGTGTGGACAGCGCCACAGCGTTCCGGCTCGGTGGGGTGGGGGTCTGCCTGAACCTCCCTCCACTCCCCGCAAGCTTCCCACTTCCGTGTCCACGGGGTCTGGGGGCAGAGCACCCAGGAGCTCACGGAAGCATGCCCCGCTCCCCTGAGGAGCTAAGAAGACAGAATGAGGAAGGCAAAGGACAGCCTCTCTCTGACGGGATTTGTACTCCAAACTGCAGGAACCTGGAAGAACTTTAGAAGCATATTTAAAACAAGACCTGAGACCCAGGGAGATGGGAGACCCAACCAGGTGACCTCGAAAGGCATTCCAAGCCCCCTATTGAGACCCCCTCACTGGTTTTTAGAAAACTCTGAAAGCCTTCCTCCTTGGAAGGGACTTGGGAGTCACCAGCCACCCTAGACACCAACCCTTAGGGAATCCACACACTATTCTCAAAATGGAAAAATTCTCAAAATTGTCACCACCAGGCGGCACACACCTGATGGTCCTTGCTTTGGAATGACCTGAGTCCAACCCTATGGGCCAGCCAGGACCACCTGGCGGGCAGAGGATCTGACAGCAGACCCTTCCCCAAACCCTTCCCGGTGCAGCCCAGGGAGCAGACAACCCGGGATCGGGCAGACCTCGGGCCCACAGCCGGTCCCAGCCACTCTCAGAGCAGGGTGCCTTCCTGTCTGCTAAACACGGAGTTTGCCCCAGAGAAGGGTGGACAGGGAGGGCTCTGCAGATCCAGCGTGGCTGGCCGCCAACGAGAGGAAAGCCTGTCCACCCCAGGGCCCATCCTAGGCCTGTGAAAAGCTTTCTGTGGGGCACAGACTTCAGAGTTGGAGCAGCTCCCCCCCCACCCCCCCGTCCTGCGGGCACGCTGGCCCTCACCGATGGCGTTGTGTATGTCCTTCACAGTGCTCTTCAGCTGCTCCAGCAGCGGCTCCTTCTTCACCCCCGTTGTTTGGGGCTCAGGCGGCCTCCCACGCCCCCGGCCCCACCCCTCAGAAGTAGCCAAGAAGTGTTCGAGGTCTTCAAAGGAGCTGTCTTTGCCCTGCACACCGGTCAAGCTATGTGCCAGGGGTGAGGGAGGCCCGGCAGGGCTGCTGTCTGGCCCTCTGTCTGGGGGGCCGGCCTGAGTGCCGTCTGGGGGCCGCAGGGCCGGGCTGGGCTCCGCAGGGGAGAGCATGCAGTAGAGGCTCTGCGAGGGCCGGAGCCGCCGGCTTCCCGGAGCCAGCAGCCCGTCGGCGTCTGGGGGCAAGGAACGGCAGCCAGGGGCAGAGGCAGCGCCAACAGCGCCCCTGCTCACGATGGGGTACAGCGCCCGGTACACTGCACACTGGAGCTTCTTCAGGAGCTGCGAGATGGGGTGGTCGGGAATGCTGCGAGAGCACAGGAAGAGGTGTGGGGGTGCACCGCCGTGGCCACGCCCTCACCTGCCATCCACCTGCCCACCACGTGGCCCCACCGGACACATTTCAGAGGAGTGATGCTTGCAGTTTCCTTGTGAGTGACTGTGGCAGATAAAGTCTGACCCACCCCCCTGAGAAGGGAGAAGGCGGCTGCTAAAAAGACCACGAGGGCGGCTGGATAGGCTGTCTGCAACCCCAGCCCTTCCGAGGGAGCCTGTGGGCACCCCGCACAGCCAGCCTCGATCTCCTCTCTGTCCCTTTCCTTTCTGATCCTTTCGTCTGCCTGCCATCAGGGCCAACCAGGAGGTAGGGGGGTGGAAGGCCCTGGTACCTGAGCAGGTGGGAGACCAGGCTGGTCACTAGCGACAGGTCCCCTGGGCTCTTCTTGAGCTGGGCCCTCCAGTGCTTCGGCCAGTCCTGCAGGGCAGGGGACTTCTTTGGAGAGCATGGCCAGGTCCCTGCGTGCCCCCTCACCAAGGCTGCACCCCAGGAGACCAGCACCACACTGTCCGTGCCCTCCCTGGGGCGTAGGAAGACCCAACACCAACGGGCCCTGGAAACAGCAAGCCGTGACAGCCCCAGCCGCAGCTCCCGGCACTCACGTGGTCTTGCTCGTACTCGAGGATGGCGGCATAGAGGGCCCGCTGCTCCCGCTCCTCCGGGCTCAGGGCAACTTGACTGCAGAACCTCCTGGGGAGAAAGACGAGGTGGGGCACCTTAGGGCTGGGGGGTGGGGTTGGAAGTCCCCACCAGTCCTCTCGGCTGTCCCCAGACCAACGGGAGGAGACGCACCTGTTGGCTGCCTCCTGGAGCCGCAGGCGGCGCTCCTCCATCTTCCTCTGCAGCTGGGGCGGCAGAGTCAAGGCCTTGTCTGGTGGGGCGGCCCCCCCAGCCCGCCTGCACTGAGTCCCCGGGCATCCGGGGGTATGGTCAGGCCAGGCGGGGCACAGGAGGTGGCAGGCCTGAGGACTGGTGTTCGCTCAGGGAACAAAGCAAGCCCTAGCCGAAGGGAAGGTTGGAGAGGGGCCCGTGGGTGCTAGGAGGAACAGGAGGGCCTGTGCGGATGCGGGCAGGGCAGGAGCCGCCCCTCAAGGTCACGCCTCTCTGAAGCTGGACGAATTCTGTCCCCACTCCGGCCCTTCACTTCCCACCTCACCCCCTTCTTGCTCAGCTCGGGACACCAGGGATGGAGGGAAAGGATACTGTCTCCTCCCGGGCTTTGGCGATCACAAGGTTCTCCATCATCTGCCGCTGCAGGGACAGGGTCTTGGAAGGGAAGGAGAAGATAAGGCCTACTCCTGTTCCAGCACCAACCCAGACCCTCCCTGGGACCCACTCACCAGGGATGTCTTCTGCATGGCCTGGCTGGGGTCCAGACGGGCCATCCGGGCCTCGTAGGCGGCCTTCAGCTTCTGGTTTTGCAGAGAGGCCTCCTCCAGAGGTGTCAGCTCCCTGGAAATAGTGACGAGCTGCTGTCCAGGCCCCAGGAAGCTCTGGAATGCTCTGGTGACCTGAAGACCCTCCCTGAGTGTGCCCTGAGAGCAGCAGGTGAGCAGGTGGCAGTGGGGGCAGGCAGGAAAGGAAAAGGAGGGAGGAGGTCTGGGGTGGACTGGAGACCCTGCCCTGCTGACCTCGACCTGCCGTTGCTGAGACCTCTGATTTTTCAAGAGAAGCTGGACATCGTACTTTTTGCAGATCAGTTATACATGTTTGGCCACAACATGAAACTTTTTAAAGGACTCATGTAAGCCAAACAACTAGATGAGTCTGCCACCCATTAAAGAGAAAACCCTGAATACTTGGTAGAAATGGCCACCAAAAGCTACCCCCGACCCCGCACCCAGACTTTTGGCCTCACAGGTCTTCATGCTTTCATGGTGAGAGAGGGTCAGTTGTGAGGACTCCAGCTGAGGGAAAATTTGTCCTGGGATGGAAGTCTTGTGCCTGGTCCTGCCCCCAAACCGCGCATGCAGAAGTGAGGGCCTGGGACCTCTGGGCGGCAGTGGACCTGGAGGCTTGGCAGCACCAAGGCCACAAGGAGCCAGGCCTTGTCTGTCCTAGTGGGGATTCTTGTATCTGACCGTTTTTCTCAGTTCCAGAAACTTCTAGCTTGTTAGCTCTTCAAATAATGCCTCTCCCACTTTCTTCCTTTTCTTTTCCCGTAACTCCAATAATCTTATGTTAGATCTTCTATCTTTCTCTCCGACTTTCTTTTTTCTCTCCCCTCTGTGAGTCATTCTCGGGGTCTATTGACCCTTTAGCCAATTCACGCACTCTTTCCACAACTATGTCTGCTCTGTTAAAAATCGACCACTCATTTTTGTGTGCATGTGTGGACTCTCACTGCAGGATATAATTTGTCGTTATTGTTTTCAGTTAGTTTTTAAAAACAATTTTGGTATCGTTTTTTTGTTTCTACTGGGTTCTTTATTTGCTGGGTCAGATTTTATGGTTCTTTTGTCCCCTGGCATTATTTTCAAACTTGCTTTTTACTTTTGTAAATGTAGAGAGCACGCGGGTTTAGCGAAACGTCTGCTAACTCCACCTGAATACTTGCAGGCTGTTTCTGCTCTTACTCTCGAAGTTTCTGGTTTCTTTCTGTGCTTGCTTATACCTGACTGTGTGCCATTCGTGCACATGCTTTTGTCCAAAGGGGATCTGCATTTGTTTTTGTCAAGCACGAGGCTGTTTCCATTCTCGGACCCATTTTAACTAAAACCATTGTGGTTAGCTCCCTTTGTCTGGACTTCAAACCCAGGCTCAGCCCACCTTCCATTTGGCCCCCTCTTACTTTTTGGAACTTTGTGACTCTGCCGCCTGAAGCTTCTGGAAGATCTCGGGCGGCAGAAACGGAGATAGTCTCCCCCCTTCATCTGAGTACACCCGGCGATGTCGGCTGGTAGATGAGGGGCCAGGAGCAGCCACGGGCGTGGCTGGCTTCAGGTGTGTTTTCCCTGCAAGACGTACATAAGCAAGGGGCAGCACGGAGTCCAGTGTCTCACAGAGATGCAGACTTGTGGGGGAGTGCCCTAGGGAAACCTGCTAGAGACCCACCGAGCTTGGCAGCTGTCGACTGGGCCCTCTCCAGACACTGCTCAGCCAGTTTCAGCATCTTTGAGGTGTCTGGGGCCACAGGGTCGCCACCTTCTGGGGATCAATAGACAAGAAAGCTGGTCACCATCACCTTTATCGCTCAACAGATTCTTGCTGAGATAAACACAAGGACAAGCCCATCCCCTCCTCACCTCTGACCCCTATGCTAGCCTATCCCCACCCTCATCCCCTCACCCCGGGCCACCCCGCCCCCTCCTCTCCGACCTCTGGGTCACCTCATCTCCTCCTCATTTCTGATCATCTGCGGGGGGTTTGCTTCCTGATGCTGTGTGGGCTCCGAGCTTGGCCAGCCCAGCATCTGACCTGTCATCCCCGCTGGACCATCAGAGCCCCCTTCCCCCCTAACCAGGCCTTTTCTCAGCAAGCGCTTTCCTGGTACTTACAGCCCCTCCTTAAGGTGGGCCTTGGGGTGGCCGTGGAGCATTTCACAGAGACAACTTTACCACCTATCTCCTGCTCTCTGGCTGTGCCTGACCCCACCCCTGGCACATCTCTGGGCCTTCTGTTCTGCATTCCGTCCTCCGGGGATCACTCCCGTCAGCAGACAGGGGCTGTAGGGCTGGACCCCAGTAGCTGTAGTTCCTCACCCACCTATGCTCGCGTTACAGCCAGCCTCTTACGGCGTCCTATTTTAGCCCTCTGACGCCCACTGAAACCCCCTCACTAATACCCTCATGTCGAGTCCTTCTCTGAGGGCTCATCGACCTCTCAGGGTCTGTCTCTTCCACACTGCTGTGCCCTCCTCCCAGGCCTCCATCTTGGGGTGCCCAGAGCTCTGCTAAGCTCACTGCCTCTCTGGGGCAGCTCTGATTCTGGTAACCCCTACCCCTCCCAACCATCATGGTCCCACATCCACCAGGGTGCTCAGCACCTCAAGCACAACATGCTCATGATGGAGCTCTCTACTCTTCCCACACACGTCTGCTCCCGCCACCCCCTGGACCAGCCCTCTGCACCTCAGTTTCACCCCAGTTCACGGCCCCTCCCCCCGCCCCACCAAACAGTGGCTCACTCTCTCCACCCCCTGCCCTGCCAACCAGCAGCTCATCCCCCACCCCCAGCAAATCTGTGAGGTCTACTTTTTTTTTTTTTAAGATTTTATTTATTTGCGAGAGAGAGAGTGAGAGAGAGAGAGCACGAGTGGGATGAAGGGCAGAGTGAGAAGCAGACCCCCCGCTGAGCAGGGAGCCCGATGCGGGACTCGATCCCGGGACTCCTGGATCCTGACCCGAGCCAAAGGCAGACGTCCAACGGACTGAGCCACCCAGGCGCCCCAAGGTCTACCTCTAGAGAACGTCCCCAAGCCCTTCACTCCTTCCATTTCCAAGTCGTCCTATCACTGCTGTCCTCACTGTGGGAGCCTCCTGGAGGCTCTGCTTCCATGCTGGCCTCTCTCCCACAAAGCCTCTACAAGCTTCCCCTTATACCACAATGATCCCAGTTCCACCCAAGGCCATGACTGCCCCGACTGCACCTACTCTTGCCGTACCCAGCATCCACTCTCACCTCAGGGCCTGTGCACGTCCCTCTGCTGGGAGTGTTGCCCCCAGCCCCTGACTTTTCAGCAGCTCACTCCTTCCTGGGCCGGGGTTCGATGTCCAGTCTCGGTTATGCCCCATCCCACATCACACTACGACAGCTCACGCTGAGTGTTCACCCATTCACCTTCTGCTAACGACTAATGGGTAGGACACAGGACACCCCCAGGCCTGAGACCCACCAAGGGCTAAGCTGTCCATCATTTGTTCAGCGCAGGAGGAGTGGTGAGGCTGAGAGCCGTACCTTTGGTGGTTTCCACTTCTTCCAGCAGCACCTGGGAGATATAGTGGATGCTCCTCAGGTATTCTGTATATGCCTCCTGTGCCCAGGGAAAAGAAATGGCAAGGGTCAGGCCAGTAACGGCAAACAATTCCATCACGCCTGCCTCATGCCGTTGTGAGAAACAGAAACGGTGCTTGCTTATCTCTTGAGTTCGAGACATGTAGCCTGAGATAGTTAGCTGGTAGTTGCTCCAGGTGCTCAGGAATGTCCTGCACAGATAGTATCCCTCTTCTCTTGACTTGAAGGGAAACAGTGCCCAGCTGGGCACCCATCCCTCCGCTCACTGCCTGTTCCCAGCACAGGAAGAACTGAGATTCTCCAGTGCGCCAGGAGAAGCAGTCCTAACAGTCGCTGTCGCATTCACTCTGCAACAGGTTTCCTTCCTGAGCGACTCAGGGGCTCTTTAGTCAGTGGCTTGAAAAAAACACAACTTTCCCGGGAGGTTACTGAGGAACTGATGTTGCAAATCTCAGAATCACTCTCTGGCTTCGGTTCTGGGAAATCCCTCTCCTGAACCCCCTGAGCACGCCGCCATCTCGAGTACTAGACCAGGGTCTGACGGTCTGCAGGGTTCCGAGTCAGAGCACCAGGCACTTGGAACCGCCGCATGACATCTTGTCGCATCCCGGTTGTCAAATTAACCTTCTTTAGGTCTACAGCTCCGAGGTAACGATAAAATGGGTTCCCGAAAGGATTTCTGACCTGTGGGGCACCTGCGGTCCTAGAAACCCGACTTCGGGAGAGCAGCCCATTGAGGAAGCAGGAGGCTTTTCCTGGGCATAGTTGGCCTCTCCTGTCCGTGGGCAGTCCACGCGGCTGCCACCGTCTGGATTAACGCCCACGCTACCCGGCCCGCATTTCCCTCCCAACAAGCGTGCTGGAAAGACGCATCTCGGATGAGCCTCAGTTAACCTTTGCGGGGTTCCGCCCCTCCGGGGAATCCGATTAAAGCTACAGTGTCTTCCCGGGAAAACACACAGCACACAGGGAATTGCTGCTTCTTGAACCCCCCTACAGACGAGCCCCGGTTCCAAGTCCCCGCTTCGCAGACGGAGACCGGCCCGCAGACCGCGGGGAGCTGTCCAAGGTCACCGCCGACGCCCGCGCCCCGCGCCCCCGGGGCCGCCGGAGGGGTCCCGGACGGCGCCCCCACCCCGGCCCCGCCCCCGCGCCCGGGCAGACGGCCGCTCGGGGGGCGCCTGGGGCCGCCGCCCCCGCCTCGCTTTGTGTCGCCTCACCCGGGGCCGGTTGCCGGTGTCCAGCTCGATGGCCCCGTTGGCCAGCTTCATGGCGCACTGCAGCGGCTTCACCGCGCCGTCCCCGGCCGCGGCGGCCATGGCGTCGGGCTCGGGAGGCCGTGGCCGTGGCGGCGGCAGCGGCGGCGCCGGCGGCCGAGGGCTGGACAGGCGGCCCGCGGCCCGGAACGCAGTCGGCGCTGGAGCCGGCACCGCCCGAGCCCTGGACCGCCGGAAGGGGCGGGGCCGGCGCGGCCGTATTTCCGGCGGCCCCGGCCCCGCCGCTCTTTGCGCTGGGCTCCCGAGGCTGGAGGGGCGGCGGTGCTCTCAGGTAGCCTCACGCAGTAGCTGCGAGCGCGTAAGTGTAACAGTCGGCACCCGCACTCCACGTCTGTGCCATGCCAAACGCCGGGGCCCTGCCGTGCCGCCCCTGCCCCCTCTCCTGGCCTTTCCCTTCGCCGCCCCGCCCCTCCCTCTTCGCCCCGCCCCGCTTCCAGGGAGTCGAACGGGGCCGAACGGCGGAGTCGAGCGGAGACGAACGAGCACTGTCTAGCTGAGCGGACGCGCGAGGCTCTGGGCCGAGCAGGACGTAACGCGGCGCAGAGGCCGGGCCCAGCCCACACAGCGGGGCCGGGCCGAGCCGAGCCGAGCCGGGCCGGGCCGAGCCGGGCCGAATAGGGCCGAGTGGAGCCGAGCGGGGCCGGGCCGAGCCGAGCGGGGCCGAGCGGGGCGGAGCGCCGGGGCCGGGCTGTAGCCGCGGCTGCCGCCATGAAGCGGGACCGGCTCGGTCGCTTCCTGTCGCCCGGGGCGGCGGGGCAGCGCGGGGGCTCCGGCGGCGGCCGGACCCGAGGCCGCCCGGCCCGCAGCGGGCCGAGCGTGGACGAGGCCGCGGCCTTGGTGGCGGCGCGGCTGGGCTGGGGCCTGGCGCGGGCCCGCGGGGACCCGGGCGAGGACGGCGCCGACGAGGCAGGTGGGTCGGGCCGGGGCGCCGGGTGGCGGGCGGAGCCGGGGGTCCCTCGGCGTCCCTGGGCCGCTCCGCCGACGGGGCGTCCCCGCGGGCGAGGGCTGCGGGCGGCCAGCCCCGGGTGCTGTTTCGCAGGGCGGCTGACCCCTCGGTGCCCACTGTCCGTCGTGAAGTCACGACGCTGGCGGGGCTGCAGTCGGACAGGCCCGGCTCCCAGTGCGGGTTTTCCGTTTCGTCTTCGTTGAGAGCAGAACCGGGTGGGTTCCGGGCAGGAGCCCCCCGCCTGGCAGGTGCTACCTGCGCGCGTGCTCTTGGCCTTGGTGGGGGGCACTGTGCCCCTCGGCGCCTGGCTGCTCCCCTGGGGGCACGGAGGGTGGGGGCAGCGTCTACACGAGGCCGGCGGACCGTGGGAGGAGTGAAGTGTTTATTTAGAAGTGTTACATGGAATTAGCCTGCGACATGGTATTAGTTTGGGTATGCAACGTATTGACGATTGGCTGTTTCACGTCCGTTGTGCCGGGATCGCCACAGTGAGTCAGGTAACATCTGTCGTTACACAGTTGCGGGTTTTTTTTCTTGCGATGAGAACTTGTAGGCACTTTCAAACATACAGAGCGGTGTTAGTAACGGTAGGCACTGTGACCTGAGACGTAGTTTATCACTGGAAACGTGCGCCTTTGACCATCCTCCCCCACCCTCTCCGTCCCGCCCTCCCCTGCCATCCACCCCTGGCCGCCACCAGTGGCTCCCTGGGAGGTTTTGTTGTTGTTTTGCTTTTTTTGGATTATACACGTAAGTGAAATGGAATGGTGGTTGTTTTTTCTTGTCTGACTTATTTCATTTAGCGTAATATCCTCAAGGTGCATCCGTGTTGTCACAGATGCAGGGTGTCCTTTTTTATGGCTGAATAATATTCCAGTGTGCACGCGCGCGTGCACACCCACCTCACTTTTTGTGCGTTCATTAATCAGTGGGCATTTAGGTAGTTTCCATACTTTGGCTATTGTAAATAATGCTGCAATGAAAATGGGAGTGTATGTATGTTTATGAGTTAGCGTTTTCATTTCCTTTGTATAAATATCGAGAAGTAGAATTGTTGGGTCAAAGGGTAGTCTTATTTTTATTTTTTAAAAGATTTATTTTAGAGAGTGTGCGTGCTTGCAAGAGAGAGAGTACTCGAGCAGGGGGAGGGGCCGAGGCAGAGGCAGAGTGACCGAGAGAAGCACACTCCCAGCTGAGCAGGGAGCCCGACACTGGGCTCCACCCTGGGCGCGATATCCATGACCCTGAGATCATGACCTGAGCGGAAACCAAGAGTCAGACACTCAACCTACTGCACCACCCATGCACCCCCCCAGCAGTTTTATTTTTAATATTTTGAGGAACCTTCATAGAGACTGTACCAATTTACATTCTCACCAACAGTGCCCAAGGGTTCCCTTTTCTCCACATCCTCACACACTCGTTATTTCTTTTTTCTTTTTTAAAGATTTCATTTATTTATTTGACAGAGAGATAGAGACAGCGAGAGAGGGAACAGAAGCAGGGGGAGTGGGAGAGGGAGAAGCAGGCTTCCTGCCGAGCAGGGAGCCCGATGCGGGGCTCGATCCCAGGACCCTGGGATCATGACCTGAGCCGAAGGCAGACGTTTAATTACTTGAGCCACCCGGGCGCCCCTATTATTTTGTCTTATAATAGCCATCCTAACAGGTGTGAGGTGATAGCTCATTATAGTTTTGATTTGCATTTTCCTGATGATGAGTGATGTTGAGCACTTGTACACTTGTACTTGTTAGCCATCTGTATGTATGTCTTCTCTTAAAACACAACTGTTTGGATCTGCCTTTTTTTTTTTTTAAGATTTATTAAATTATTTGAGAGAGGGACAGAGAGAGCGAGCAGGGGGACAGGGAGACTAGCAGACTCCCTGCCGAGTGACTTGATCCCACAACCCTGAGGTCATGACCCGAGCTGAAATTAAGTCAAACACTTAACTGACTGAGCCACCCAGGCTCCCCTGCTGCCTGTATTTTAATTGGATTGTGTTTTTGATTTTGAGTTGTGTTAGTTCTTGATGTATTTTAGGTATTAATCCATTACCAGATATATAATTGGCAAATATTTTCCCAAATTCAGTAGGTTGCCTTTTCATTTCGTTGATGGTTTTCTTTGCAGTACGGAAGCATTTCAGTTTGATGTAGTCCCACTTCTTTATTTTTTGCTTTTGTTGACTTTGTTTTCAGTGTTGAATCCAAAAAATCATCACCGAGACTGAGGAGAAGGAAATTACTGCCGGTGTTTTCTTCTAGGAGTTTTATGGTTTTAGGTCTCACATTTAGGTCTTTAATCCATTTTGAGTTTATTTTTGTTTATGATTTAAGTTGGCGGCCTAATTTCATTCTTTCGCATGTGGCTGTCCAGTTTCCCAACACCCATTTATTAAAGAGACTATCATTTCCCCATTGTATATTCTTGCCTTCTTTGTTGTAAATTAATTGACCTCTCATATGCATGGGTTTATTTCTGGGCTCTCTTTTGTTGCATCAATCTGTTTTTATGTCATTACTATACTGTTTTGGTTACTGTAGTTTTGTTACATAGTTTGAAATCAAGAAATGTGATGCTTCTGGCTTTGTTCTTTCTCAAGATTGCTTTGGCTATTTGCGGTCTTTTGTGATTTCGTATAAATTTTAAGACTGTTCTATTTTTGTGAGAAATGCCATTGGAATTTTGATCAGGATTGCACTGAATCTGTAGATGGCTTTGTGTAGCATGAACATGTTAATAGTTTTCTTCTAATCCACGAGCGCAGAATATTCATTTATTTGGGTCTTCACTTTCTTTCATTGGTGTCTTATAGTTTTCAGTGTGTAGGTTTTTCACCTCCTTGTTAAATTTATTCATAGGTATTCTTTTTGATACATTTTTTAAATTAATTTATTTGACGGGGGGGGAACACAAGCAGGGGGAGAGGGAGAAGCAGGCTTCCTGCTGAGCAGGGAGCCCGATGCGGGACTCGATCCCAGGACTCCAGGATCATGACCTGAGCCGAAGGCAGACGCTTAACGACTGAGCCACCCAGGCATCCCCTTTTTGATGCATTTGTAAGTGGGATTGCTTTCTTAATTTCTTTTTCTGATAGTTCATTATTGATTTTTGTGTCTTGCAACTTTACCGAATTTTCATTCTTAGCATTCTTAGAGTCTTTTGATGGAGTCTTTAGGGTTTTCCATATGTAATGCCATATTATCTGCAAATGAGACAGTTTTTTATTTTTTTCCTATTTGGATGGTTCTTATTTTTCTTGCCTAATTGCTCTGGCTTGGACTTCCGGTACTATGCTGAATAAAAGTGGTGAGAGTGGGCATCCTTGTCTTGTTCCTGATCTGAGAAGAAAGCTTTCTGCTTTTCACTTGTGTGTATAATGTTAGCTATGAGCTTGTTATCTGTCACCTTTATTATGTTTAGGTACATTTCCTCTACACCCACTTTGTTGCAGAATTTTTATCACGATGGGCATTGAATTTTGTCAGAAACTTTCTGCATCTGTTGAGATGCTCATATGATTTGCATCCTTTGTTTTGTTAACATGTATCAGGTTGATTGGTTTGTGGATGTTGGACCATCCTTGCACCCTTGGAATAAATCCCACCGGATCATGGTATATGAGCCTCTTAGTGTATTGTTGAATTTGGTTTGCTAACGTTTTGGTGAGGATTTTGGCAGCTGTGTTTGTCAGGGATATTGGCCTGTAATTTTCTTTTCTTGTGGTGTCCTTGTCTGGTTTTGTTATGAGGGTAATTCTGGTCTTGCTGTAGAAGCACTTAGAATTCTCTGAAAGGTTTTCTGGACCATAAGGCCCTCCATTGAGCACATCTCCCAAAAGTCTTTATGTTCAACTGGGAGCCCAGAGCCAGAGCCCTGACTCTGGTGCAGGTGTGGGCTTGTGTTTAAGGGGTATATATGGGGAAGCTCCATGGAGGGTTATTCTCCACTTGGGGAGCTGCGAGGACGGCAGAGCATGGGTCTCACCTCCCCTGGGGCCGCGTTGCTCACTTCCTAGGAGCTTGTGTCTTCCAAGCCCTGTGCAGCAAGCAGCCTCACCAGCTGACTTAATGTCTCCTGTGCTTGCCCAGGA